ATTCCTGAGGCATCCAGGCAGCGGGGGGAAACATCATCAGCTGGGGAGCCAGGAAGGATCCCAACCCTAAACCCTAAACCCTAAACCCTAAACGGTACTTAAGGGGCTTGCCAGTGGGTCATGGCTCTCAAACGGCCATATAGAAAGAGGCGTGGGGGGGGGGGGGGGGGGGTGGATCGAAACCATGAGCGGCCCCTTTCTCCGGGAGTTCCCAAGAAAAATACTTCCTTCAGTAGGGTTTAGGTTCAGGGTTTGGGGTTTAGGGTTTAGAGTTTAGGGTTTCTTTGATGACCGTGTGTGCCTTTGTATTGGGATGTTCCCCAGATACTACCAGTCCTTAACAGGGATTCGAGTACCCCGGCCCCCACCCCTATGAAAATCCCGATAAAATTAAGGCCGCTAGTATAAGGAGGAAGATCCCAAGCCTTATAGCTTCATTGACATAAAAGGGTCTTTTGTTCAGAAAATTCCTTACAGCGTCTATGCGAATATTCTCAAGGCACCCAAACAGGACACTAGACGTCATTAGATCAACCCCAACCTGCAAGCCCTAAGTAAACCCTAAACCCTAAACCCTAAACCCTAAACCCTAAACTCTAAACCCTAAACCCTAAACCCTAAACCCCAAACACTAACTCCTAAACCCAGCACATTTCAATGCCCGAAGATCAGGGAGCCGCCAAAGGCACTGAGGAATGCGTGGAAGCTGGCTTACACTCATCCCAAGCACCTTCCACAGCAAAACAACCACCCTAGACCCAAGAGTCTACACCCTAAACCCTAAACCCTAAACCCTGAACCCTAAACCCTAAACCCTAAACCCTAACCCTGAACCCTGAACCCTGAACCCTGAACCCTGAACCCTGAACCCTAAACCGCTTTCGGGTTGAGGACCCCCAGCCCTAAATGCTCTTCGGATGTGGGGCTGATGATGGGTCATCTATCCGAAGCCCTGAACCCTGCGTTTAGCGTTTAGGGGGGGTTGGGGTTTAGGGGGGTTGGAGTTTAGGGTTTGGGGTTTAGGGTTTTAGGGTTTGGGGTTTAGGGGTTTGGGGGTTTGGGGTTTGGGGTTTAGGGTTTAGGGGTTAGGGTTTAGGATTTGGGGTTTAGGGTGGATTCGGGAAGCCCTTTGGGGCTTCTCCTTAGTCTCAGGTGCCACACTTCACTTCCCGTTTCTTGCAGTGAACTCCAACGCCAGATACCCAAACTCCAAACCCCTCAGAGACCAGAACCAACCCTAAACCCTAAACCCTAAACCCTAAACCCTGAACCCTAAACCCTAAACCCTAAACCCTAAACCCTAAACCCTAAACCCTAAACCCTAAACCCTAAACCCTAAACCCTAAACCCTAAACCCTAAACCCTAAACCCTAAACCCTAAAGCCTAAACCCTAAACCCTAAACCCTAAACCAATTCAAAGCAAGGGTTCCGGGCTCAGGGACGTCGGCTAGTCCGACACGCTTTGAGGCTTTCACTTGAAGCACCCCCATTCTCCACTCCAACCTTTGGATTTCGGGTTTAGGGTTTAGGGTGTAAGGGGTAGGGAAGGCTTCGGGCTTAGGGCTGGGGGCTTCCGGGCGAAAGGTGTAGGGTTTCGGAGAGGTTGGCATTACAATCCTTAGTTTGCCTTTGGAACGGGCCACATACTGCCTGCAAGCTCCGAAGTCGCCCCGTCTGTTCGGGTCCACGGCAGGCTTGGGGGGGTCTTAAGACAACCTGTTGCGGGGTTCGGCGCGTAGGTTTCGAGGTGGTTGAGAAAACAAACATCTGAGTCTTTGTTTGTGGGCAAGCTGGTTTAGGCTTCAGGGTTTAGGGTTTTGGGGTTCAGGGTGTAGGGTTCAAGGATTGCCCATGCCCACAACCAGGGAACCCGCAGCAGAGACAATGTCCCTTACAATGCGCAGGCACATGTCATCCAGAAGCCGTCAAAGTACCATTCGTTGCAGAAGCCGCTCTTGAAGAAAGAGATGCGCGACCTAGTTTCGTCTAACTTGAATCTGGATTTACTGCCGACATCTGAGAGCAATCTCCTCCTGGAACAGCTGAAACAAGATGAGTCTGCCGTTCCGCCTCCACATGCGCGGAGGCTCGAGGACGCGCTCCGTAGAGGCAGCATCATGCTTCTCAGGACCCTAATCCTGAACCGGCCTGGGTTGAAGGTTTGACTGGGCAGCTCAGAATCACTTTCCCTTTTTTGGGTTTAGGGTGTAGGGCTTAGGGTTGAGGACTTAGAGGGCTGACCCCCTTACTGTCAAAGCTCTTGGAAAACCAGTAACCCCACATCCATCATCCCCCACCTGCCATGGCAACAGCGCCCACGTCAGGTAACGCGGAAGCGCCATGCGGCTGAAATTCAATCCCTAAACCCTAAACCCTAAACCCTGAACCCTGAACCCTAAACCCTAAACCCTAAACCCTAAACCCTAAACCCTAAACCCTAAACCCTAAACCCTAAACCCTAAACCCTAAACCCTAAACCCTAAACCACAGGTGACTCGGGATCTCCGGGCGTTGGAGGTGGGGTGGGCTTCAGGACTTTGTCACAAAAACGACGCCGTGTTTAAACCACCTGTAACCCCCCTAAACCCTAGACCCTAAACCCTCAAACCCTCTGACCCCTTGAACCCGAAGGGTAGATCCTTGATCCGCACAGTCGGCGGTGAAGAGGGACAAAGGCTTGCCAGGGTTGGTTTAAAGTTTAAAGGCATGGGGTTGGTAGGGGGTTTCTAGGCTTCCAAGAGGGTGCTTTTCGACCCCCCGCCCGCCCGGTTTAGGGTTTAGGGTTTAGGGTTTAGGGTTTAGGGTTTAGGGTTTAGGGTTTAGGGTTTAGGGTTTAGGGTTTAGGGTTTAGGGTTTAGGGTGGTTTCGCGTGTTTTGTTGGCGGAAAAGGAGAAGAAGGGGACACTGGGGGTCCTGAGTACGGAGGAATGAAGCGTAGCAAGAACCAGACCTCCAAAAGATCCTAGCTCTATGAGGGATTTAGGGGTTAGGGTTTCAGGGTGAGCGCTTGCTCTGATTTTCCTCCGTAACGCTGGGCTTGCGTCTTGTGCTGCTAAGCCCACGCTGTCTTTTCGGACTGTAAGCCCTATAAACCTTGCGGAGCTGCGCAGGTCCTGCATCAACCGGTGAGAATACACTCTGCTGTCGATGTCAGCTCGGTGTCTTGGGGTAGTTTGAAACCTCCTCATGACATCCCAAACCCTAAACCCCTCGTCTCCGATACCCTAAACCCTAAACCCCTAAGAAAACCCTCAGCCCCTCAACCCTTGATGCAGGAGTGGCGGCTTTCAGAGCAGCATGCAGCCCAGGGCGCTCTAGGCCCCTAAACCCTAAACCTGCAACCCTCAACCCTCAACCCTAAACCCTAAGCCCTCAACCCTAAAGCCTAAACCCTACACTCTGATTGGGGCTTAGGATCGAGGGTTTTGGGCTTTGGGTTTCTTGTGCAGGGGCTATGTGGGTAAGGGTAGTCAGGGCAGTCAGGGTTAGGGTTTAGGGTCTCTACACATTTGGTAAGGGTAGTTTGGGGGGTAGCATCGAACCAACTATGATTCACGCGGGCTTGGGGTTTAGGGTCCCGAAACCTCACGCCCGAAACCTCAAACTCTAAATCCTACACCCTACCCTACACCCTAAACCCTGAACCGTAAACCCTCAGCCAAACCCTAAACCCTAAACCTTAAACCCTAAACCCTAAACCCTGAACCCTAAACCCTAAACCCTAAACCAAGGTATGGAAGGCTTCAGCAAACCAGACACAAGATATCTGCAAGTCTCCTGGCTGCTCTGCATGCTAAAAGAGCCCAAGATGCCTTGAATGAAGGGACTTTGCGGTTGGGGTTTAGGGTTTAGGGTTTAGGGTTTAGGGTTTAGGGTTTAGGGTTTAGGGTTTAGGGTTTAGGGTTTAGGGTTTAGGGTTTAGGGTTTTTGGTTTAGGGTTTAGGGTTTAGGGTTTAGGGTTTAGCGTTTAGGGTTTAGGGACCGCACTTCTTGCTGACCCCCCCCCCCCCCCTTCCTGCCCCAATTTCGGGTTGAGGTGGATCCCTTCAAGGCTCTTTGGGCTCGCCGGGAGGGGTCCACTGCCACCTCGCGAGTTGTTCAAATCTTGCATGGAGGTTCGGTTTAGGGTTTAGGGTTTAGGGTTTAGGGTTTAGGGTTTAGGGTTTAGGGTTTAGGGTTTAGGGTTTAGGGTTTAGGGTTTAGGGTTTAGGGCTTAGGGTTTAGGGTTCAGGGTTTAGGGTCGAGGGCTTAGGGCACTAGGGTTTAGGATTCTTCCATTGTCATGGCTCGCAAAGTTGAAAAGACGCATTCCACTTGTGCGGCTTACTTCGCTTCATAGCAAAGAACCTTACCCCTCCCAAACCCAAAAACGCTAAACCCAAAACCTTAAACTTTAAACCCGAAACCATAACCCAGTAGCCTGGGAACCTTTTGGCATATATCTGGTGTATCTAAGCCCCCTCAAGAAAGGCAACGGAATTAGGGTACTCTAAGGGTTCAGGGTGCTTCAGGTTTGCAAACCCTGGGGGGTTCAGGCTGTAAGGCTGAAGGTGGCGAACATCTGACATGGATATGATCTCAACTCCCGAAACGCTAAAAACTCATTACGAACCCTAGAGTGTCCCTAAAGAAAACCCTAAGGAAACATAGCCGTGAGAACCCTAGAAGCCCGAATAGAGTTTGGGGGTTGGGGCGAACCTCCAAGCGTCTGCTTGCGGCGGGGCTCGGAAAGGAAGACTCTGCCACATTCGAACCCCACAGTCGCCCCAAGGTTGCCTCCCCCTCATCTAGGTTTAGGGTTTAGGGTTTAGGGTTTAGGGTTTAGGGTTTAGGGTTTAGGGTTTAGGGTTTAGGGTTTAGGGTTTAGGGTTTAGGGGTTAGGGGTTAGGGGTTAGGGTTTAGGGTTTAGGGTTTAGGCCCTCATCTCTAAACCCCAAAAGCCCTAAAGGTCTAAAAGCCAGTGAATGGTGCCAGTCTAGGGCTTCCTTCTTGTGGCATCCTAGCAAATGGGATCGGCATCTGTCAGGAGCGCTGCCCTCGCCGAGGCCGCGTTGCCTCACGGAGCCAGGGAGTGTCTAGGGGGCCGAAACCCGAAACCCTAAACCCGAAACCGCGGGAGCTGCTTGCCGGACTTGCATCCGAGGCCCGCGAATGTCGCACAGAGAGGGTTGCAATTGGGGTCCCACTCTCTTGGGCTTCAGGGTTGAGGGCTCTTAGCAGCCCTGCAATTAACAATCGCATTTTAATAAGGGCACCCTTTTTTGGGTTGGTTATTTTATAAGGGAAACCAGAACCAAAAAAAGGGTAAAGGGTGCCACTGGGCTCCCAAGGCTTCAGGGTGCAGGGCTTTAGGGTCTAGGTTTTAGGGTTTAGGATTTGGGGCTTAAGTTTTCGGAATTACGGTCTAGGTCTTAGGCTTTAGGGTTTAGGTTTCCGGGTTTTAGGGTCAAGGTTTTGGGCTTTAGGGTTTAGGATTTCGGGTTGAGGGCTTAGGATTTAGGGTTTTGGATTTAGGGTTTAGGGCCTAGGTTGTAGGGTCTTCGGGTTTAGGATTTACGGTGTTGGGGCATTCTGCATTCATTGCTTTTTCTGAGGGTTTAGGGTTGAGGGTTCAGCATCTCCAGTCGCAGCATTCACTAGTCAAGCAACTTGTTGAGCGACGGAGACATACCCACTCGCCCATTGAGTCCCACAACAATTAGGAAACTATTTCGCTTTGCATAGAAATCCACAAGCAAGCTTACATCCTCTTCAACCCTAAGCCCTAAACCCTAAACCCTAAAAACCCCACAGTAGCCCCACAACACTAAAGCCCAAGGCCTAGCAATGCCCACGGAAAGATTTGCCGAACCCTAAACCCTAAACCCTAAACCCTAAACCCTAAACCCTAGGCCCTAAACCCGAAACACAACCTGCCCGCGGCCTCTGCGGTTCTAGGGCTTTGGGTTTCATGAGAGTTTAGGGTTTAGGGCTTAGGGTTTAAGTCACGCGAGGCCGAGTGTGCACAAGCAAGAGGCATGGCTGAAGCCGAAGACCGACACCCCAACCCCTGGAAAACCTGGAAACCTGGAAACCCTGAAAACCCTGAAACCCTGAAACCCTGAAACCCGAAACCCGGATCCACAAGCCCAGCTGCGCATCAGGGATGGCGCGTCGCGGCTGCTCAGGCTGGACAAACCTTACGGCTTGGCTACACTTAGGAGGGTAGTAAAAAACTAAACTTTTAGCTGCCTTATTCAGAAACCCAATAAACCCAAAAAAGCTAAAGATCTAAAGTTACAGTAAAGCACCACAAAGACGGGATCCGGTTGAGGGTTTAGGGTTTAGGAGTCCCTTGTTATATCACCCTTTTATACGCTCTGCAGTTTAAGGGCCCACACCTCGGATCCCATAAAGTCCTTTTAAGCAAGTATACCTGACAAACCTGGGCATCCACTGGTTACGTTGCGGGCCTAGGCTCTGGGGTTCGGTTTAGGGTTTAGAGTTTAGGGATTTAGGGTTTAGGGTTTCGGGTTGAATTAGGGTTTGGGGGCTTTAGGGTTTAAGGGTTTAGGGTCTTAGGGTTTAGGGTGTAGGGCTTGGGGCTTTTGGGGTTGTAGGGCCTTTTCGGATTTTAGGGCGTCATGTTTGGTCCAGCTCGGGGCGTCCCAGGCGTCAAACTGGAGCTATGATAGGGTTGAGGGTTCAGCGTTCAGGGGTCCTAGACCCCCTAACCGCCCCCCCACCCCCCCCACCCCCCCCACCCCCCACCCCCCCCCCCCCCCCCCCCCCCCCCCCCCCCCCCTCTCGGGAGCGCCCTCATAACACATTTTTCGGGGCACTTGGGAAGTTTGGGTGTGCGGGCTTTAGTTAGGCTGGATGGTTTATATAACACTAAACTCTCCAGACCCTGGGCCCTACAAAGCCAGAAGGAAATTCATTAGGCTTGAGTAGTAGCTCTACACCCTAAATCTTCAACCCTCTCGAGCTTAGGGTTTATAGGGCTTCCTGACCCTAAGCACTAAGCCCTAAGCCCTAAGCCCTACACCCTAAACCCTAAACCCTAGGCCCTAAACCCAAAGTGGGCACCAAGGCGCTGGACACATCGATGCAGCTGGCTGAGGTGGATCGGCTGCGGCTCAGCTGGTCCGTCCTACAAGACCTTCAGGTAGGGTTTAGGGTTTAGGGCTTAGGGCTTAGGGTTTAGGGTTCAGGGTTCAGGGTTCAAGGTTTAGGGTTTAGGGTTTAGGGTTTAGGGCTGAGGGTTTAGGGTTTAGGGTTTCGGGTCTAAAGGTTTAGGGTTTAGGGGCGCTGGGCCCAGAACACTCGCATTGAACGGTAGAATGGCTGTCTACCATCTAAGTCAAGGGCCTTCTTCGGTATGCCAAATAGTAAAGTTTACTAAAGAAACAGAAAACCAACTAGAGGGCGCCTAAACCGTAAGAAGGTACACCAGAGTAAGCACTAATTAAATCATCAGCCTCGTACCCGAAACCCTACAAACCCTCTACCCCATTAAACTAAGCCCTAGAAGCGAAGCCCTATATGACCCCAACAAAACATCTGAACGCTACCATCAGCCCATAAGAAGCCCAAACCCTATATAACCCCCGCTCTCACCCCTTCCCCCCCCCCCCCCCCCCCCCCCCCCCACCAGGAGAAAAAAAACAGAGAAACCCTAGCGCCAAACCCCAAAAGTCCCAAACCCCTATAAGAAGCGCTAAGCCCCAAATATCTCGCCCCAATAGTCCTACACGTATATTCTAGACGTTATTTAGATTTTGGGGTTAGGGTTTAGTGTTTAGGCTTTAGGGCTTAGGGAATAATTAGGGTTTAGGGTTTAGGGAAACCCCTCCATAAGAAGCCCGGCGGCAGGTAGCGGCTCGCGAGGTACGCGGCCGTCGACTTGTGCTCCGGCCGCTGGACGGCACAGGCCTGCAAAGCCGCCGAGCCCTCTTCTTTCCACTTTTTTGGGTGAGTTTAGGGTTTAGGGTTTGGGGTTGGGGTTTAGGATTTAGGTTTTAGGGTTTGGGGTTTAGAGTTTGGGGTTTGGGGTTTAGGGTTTAGGGGCCGCCAAGTGCTTGCGACTTGTCTGAGGGTTTTAGGGTTTTAGGGTTGTAGGGTGTTAGGCGTTAGGGTAAGTTTAGGGTTTAGGGCCTAGTGGTTTAGGGCTTAGGGGTTTAAGGATTTAGGGTTGAGAGGGTTGAAGGATCTGGTTCTTCGAAGGGAATGAGAGAATCAGGCACCCGATATCCCCCCGTATATACACTTTTCGGGGTTCTATAGGGTAACTAATTACTTCATTCCCGACTCAGAACCACTCTAGGGTCCTCAATTATTGCAGGGTCTTGATGCAAGAGGGCGCTGCTGGGGTCAACCTGTTTGTGGCCTTCTACAGCTTCCAGGAGGATGAAACTATACTCCCCTTAGAACCTTAATAAAACGAATATTTTTAATACACACTTGGGTTTTATATAGACAAAAACTATTCTATTTCGAACATCCCCACCCTCTCACTCTGGGGTTGGGCACTCCAGCAACCCTCTGGGGCTGGGCACTCTGGGGACAATCTGGGAGAGGGAGACTCTGGGGTTGGGCACTCCAGGGAGACTCTGGGGCTGGGCACTCTAAGGAGAGTCTGGGGTTGGGCCTCTGGGGTTGGGCACTCCAGAGAGACTCTAAATTTGGGCAAAGCAGGGAAACTGTGGGGTGGGAGACTCTGGGCTGGGCACTCCGGAGACACAGGTGGTTGGGCACCCTAAGGAGACTCTGGGGTTGGGCCTCTGGGGTGCTCTGGGCTCCAGGGACACTCTAGAGTTCGGCACTCCAGGGACACTTTGGGGTTGGGCAGTCCAGGGATGAGCGAGGAGTAGACCGGGCGACGCGAAGAGCTGCGGGCGAAGAGAAGAGTTCCGGGCGAGGAGAAGAGTTGAGTTTGAAATCTAACAACCCCACACCGAGGGTGGGGAATAAAAAATAATTCAGGCTTAAGGGCCTGCCGAGTTTCTAGGGCTTGGGGGGGGGGCCTTGGTCTGCTCGTACATCTCAAGTGTTTCCTCGACGACCTGCTGCTGCACGGCGTCCAGAAGCTCGCCTTTAAGCAGGGGAAGTCGTGAGAATCCTTTGTAAGGGATCACCAAGCACCTTTTGTGTTCCTAAGCCCAATATACTCTAAACATATATATATATAAACCCTAAACTCTACACCCGAACCACTTCATGTTCCCTTCTAGAGGCCCATAGAAGGCAAGGCTTCCTGTGAAGAGATACCAAGGGGAGTCGGAATAACCCTGGGACAGATTGATTTGGGTTTAGGGTTTAGGGCTTATAGGGTTTAGGGGTGGTCAGGTCTTGTTGGGTCCATGTTAGAATACAGCCCCTTGGTGTCACCGACCAAAAGCACCGCAATTTCGAGAACCGAGCATATGGGGATTTTTGACTACCCGAAACAACTTCAAAGCTTTCTGAATGCTCCACTACTCAGTCGCTGAGAGAGAGCTGCTCACGGTAGCCGTGTTTGATGAATGCCTTTGTCAGGTAGCCGTGGTTCGTGGCGGGACACTGCTGCGCCACGCCCCCGCACTCGCAGGCGTGGATGATCGCGAACTCTGGCCTATACTCCCCTTAGAACCTTAATAAAAATAATATTTTGAATATCCTCTTGGGTTTTATATAAACAAAAAATTAAAACAAAATCCCAAGGGGGATATAGGGGCTTGTGCAGCTGCCTTGTGCGCCTCGCCCTCCGCGGCTCCCCAGCTGTCTTTGCAGCCAGACGCTTCCGGATCTGAGAAGAGCCAGAGGTTGGGTTTAGGGCGGGTTCTAGGCACAAGCAACAGGGGGGTTTAGGGTTTAGGGTTTAGGGTTTAGGGTTTCGGGTCTCAATTACCGGGCAGCCGATGCCTTCAGGGATGATCTCGGAAAATCTATTCAGTCTCCTGTAGCACAAAAACCACTTTAAAACCCCTCCCACCTCTTCGTCCCGCGGGGAGGAGCGGCAAGTGTCCAAGATCAGAAGGAAGAGGGGTTTCACAGCATCGGCCGCATCCCTGCTTGCTGGCAGGGACCCGGAGGTCTTAGGGCTTCGTGAAAGGCTTCTGTTTCAGTATGCAGTTGCACCCTGAACCCTGAACCCTAAACCCTAAACCCTAAACCCTGTTGGGTTGCGGCCCATCACCAGGCGACCTGGATCGGTGGTGGATCTCCGCCGCACGGTTCAGGATGTAGTCCAGCGAGATAAGCTCGGCATCTTGTGAGCATGCGTTGCTCGGAACCAGGAACTGGCTATTCCCGACTTCCACACCTAGTTCATGGTTGGGACAGCATCAAAAAAACTCAAATTTCTATTCCTTATCGAGTTTAAGTGTCCTTAACTTTAACAATAAAAAATGCTACGCCACTATGACAAAGACACCATGTCCAGCAAAGTAGATGGGAACAACTGGGTCCTTGACCCTGCACGTCGCCAATTCTCCGAGGAGCCTCTCCTAGTGATGGGCTTAGGGTTTAGGTTTTAGGGTCCCTGGGGAGAAGAAGGTGAACCTTTGTGTATCAAGGAGTTCTTCGTACTGTTCAAAGCAAAATCCTGAACTCTGTGACCCCAAACAACCCAGGCCTCCCTCCTCTAAACCCAAAACCACTATTTGCTTCAGAACCCCACACAAAAGAATCACAGACAATCATCCCTATGTATTGCCAGAATACCCTTAGAAGGAAGAATGTGCTTTTGGGTGGTTCATAAGCAAATAGTAGTAACTTCGTACACCCCCCCATTACCATAATTGGCTTATAAGGAAGAATGTGCTTTTGGGTGGTTCTTAAGTACATAGCAATAATTTAGCAGTAACTTCGAAGTAACTTAGTAGTAACTTAGTACACCCCGAATCCCTAAACCCTCCTCTTCGGCATCTAAGTCGCGGTGAGCTGCTTTGCGACCTCGCAGGTGACGTTGTGGCAATCGATGGCATGATAGCCCAACCTGGCAGAAGTGGGTTTAGGGTTTAGGGTTAGGGTTTCGGGTTTAGGGTTTAGGGCTACCTGGGACTCGCTTTACCTGCAGTTTTATGGGTTATACCTGTAAAACTGAGGGGTAGGGACTACTAAACTGTAGGGAAATACAGTCCCAGGAACCTGCGAGAAGTGCCATTCCGTTGATAAGGCCACCCTTTTTTGGGTTGGTTACCCTAAACCCGACAGCCTAAACCCGAAGGGGCTAGCTTAGGAGTTTAAAATTAGGGTTCGAGTTCAAGGATAGTGTGCTGCAAGAATGTGGTTCATTTGGGTCACTGTAAACAGGGAACCCACAGTAGTCACATGATGATCATGGATAAGGTCCACATGTTGGAAAAAGTCTTGAACATAAGCCCCACGCAAGCCAACATACCCGAAACAGCTTTGATGAAAATGTAACCCGTACTGAACCCGAACCCCACAACTCTTGTATGCCTTAGCTACCTATGCCCCGAACACTAACCCTCAATCTGCAAACCCTTAACCACCTCCCCCCCCCCCACCCAAAAAAGACAAAAAGAAACAACAAAAAGACAAACAACATGAAAGGAAGCGCTGGTCAACCCATCATCATTACATCCCAAAATACAGCAACAGTAAGGCTGGATTCTGGGGCTTAGGTTAAGGCCAAAAGAATTCAGGTTTTGGGCTTTGATCCTGAAGCCACACGAGCGGCAGGCGTCAAGACTTCTTACCAACTTCCTCGCAGAGTGCTTCTAGATACTCTAGGATCCCCAGTAACCTAGGAATAATATGGGCTCCCTTTTTGGTATTGGGTAGTTTTATAAGGAACCTAAGACCCCAAAAAGGTAAAAATCAGGCCCACTGGGACACCTAGATACTGCCTACCTGGGCCCGACACCCGGCTTGACAAAACATCTGGGCCCTTTCTGGGCACCCCATATCCTGGAAGCTAAGCCCCAAACCCCCCTAAACCCCCGAAAACCCTAACAAGAAACAAGACGTTCTAAGGAACTCCCTTAAGACCCTGGTGCCCAGGAGAAACCCTAAACCCTAAACCCTAAACCCTAAACCCTAAACCCTAAACCCTAAACCCTGAACCCTCTAAAAACCACTAGTGCCCAGGAACTTGTCGAGCATCAGAGCCATCTCTTCACCATCCTTGCGAGCCCAGGGAAGCGGCTCGAACTCCTGGGGGGCCGCGCTTTTGAGCGTCAGGGTTTAGGGTTTAGGGTTTAGGGTTTAGGGTTTAGGGTTTAGGGTTTAGGGTTTAGGGTTAGGGTTTAGGGTTTAGGGTTTAGGGTGCAGGGTATAGGGTTAGGGTTCAGGGCTCAACCTCAGAAAGAAAATCAATCCATCCTTCTTTGAGGCATCCTCTCAATGGCCAAATCCTATAGTAGTAGTACCAGTACAGGGAGCACAGCTTTCGGCTCAGGGAACTCTCCTAGGCTGCCCAGTAAGCAAGGCTTAAAAAGGGTGCCCTTTTTTGCTTAAAGGGGTTTATAAGGGAACCTAAACCCCCCAAAAAGGGAACAAGGGTACTACTGGGCATCCTAGTCTCAAACTTGGTGGTCTAGAGTTTAGCTTCTCTGGGCCGAGGGCCTGAGGGGCTAGAGCCTCGACTCGAGGGCTCAGCTCCTTTTCTGAGCCGTAGAGGTATTCTTATCATCCCTAGGTTCCAGGGTTTAGGGTTTAGGGTTTAGGGTAGGCTTCTTACCCCAAAGTAGCCTTCATCATGAGGGGGAACCTGGGAGCACACCCCTTCATACCAAGTACTGCTCGGGCCAGCTCTTCAAAAGTGCTGAAGTGCTTGTGGTGTGGTACAGTAGCCACCTTGGCAATAATACCAATTCCTAGTGCAGAAGGTCCTTTTTTCAAAACCCACCGGTGCAAAAATCAAAAGACGTGCTGAGCAAGGCTTGGGATGTGGGGGTTTCCGAAATTCGGGGCACCTTAAAGCAATTGGTAGAAATAGGGGTACCCCTTGTATACCCTAAATAGAATGGAATCCCAGTATAAGGGTATATGGGGGTTTCCGAACTTAGGGGCACCTGAATTGGGGTCCTTATTGTAAGGGAATCCTACTAGTTTGGGGGCTTTATTTGGGGGGCCCCTTATTTTTCGGAAACTCCCATGTAGGACTGTGGGCTGAGTTTTTTACCCCCGGAGGCTTGGTGGGTCCAGGTTTAAGGTTGGGATCTCGAAGTCTACTTGGGGCGAACAATCCTGCACGCCCTTCACTTGCGGTCGGGAAGCCTCAGCATAGGTGGAGTTGTACCTGGCCGTGGGAATGGCAGCTTGGTGGATGATGCCACGCTGCCCTGTGGGGGGTCTGAGATATGAAAAAAACAACTCAAGTTCTAACCCCAAGCCTGTAAACCCTGCCCTAAACTCCTATAAAAACCCTAAACCCTGAAAACACCCAAACCCGAGGGAACCAGAAGAGCTGAGCCCCTTGCAGCACCAGGGCAGGTGGGTTCCCGGATTCGTGAGAGGGAGGAGGCCTCCTCCACAACAGCACCAAGAACCGAAGGAGCCCGGGCGGGGGTACCGTTTCAGGAGCCCCCTGTCTCCCTCTCTCCCTCCCTCCCTCCCTCCCTCGCTCGCTCGATCGCTCGCTCTCTCTCGCTCTCTCTCGCTCTCTCTCTCTCTCTCTCTCTCTCTCTCTATAGGGCATGGCCGCCCATAAGCCTTAAACCCTAGACCCCCAACTCTCTAAACCCCTAAAACCCCAAGGCCTCAACTTTGAATAGTCTTATTGCCTGTGGACACCCTAGCGCAAAAGTCCAGACCACATAAGTGCCCAAAGGCCCGAAGCCATAACCTCACAACCTTTGCTACAACCCTTCTACCCCTAAACCCTAAAAGCCCCAAACAGAGGGAACATGGCTCCTCTTCTTCCAGCAGCACCAGGCGAGCAAGCACACAGATACCTCTCTCATCCGGCTTCAAGGGCTTTGAAGGGTCTTAGTGCTTAGGTGTTTTGCTGGTTGCGACCTTTTTCACGAAACCCTAAACCCTTAATTAACCCTTAGCCCTAACACTTAACAAGTCCCCAAACCCTCTAACAAAATGAATGCCAAAGCGCAAGCTGCGGTCAGGGGCTTTAGATGGGAGGCAGGCTTCAAGCCGTAAACCCTGGACTCGTCCCCGCCCAAAAAAGCTGCGACGACAAGAAGGTTGAAGAAAGGGTGTTTTAGGGGGCTTCGGGTTGGGGGATTTGGGCTTTGGGGCCTGAGAGTTTAGTGAGCCGGAGGCTCCTAAATGTTTAGGGCTGTCCAAGAACTGCGCTCGAATACTCCCTCGGGCCCCCTTGACCATTGAATAATATAGGGGCCTACGTAACACGTATGAGTATTTCGATAGTTTCTAGTACAACTCTGTAAGGGGGTATAAGTGGCAAGGAGATCGTATTTTGAAACTCATCCTATACTTGACCACGACAGCTTGGTTGTAGGGTTTAAGGTTCCGGGCTCCAGGGCGTTCACGCTCCGTGGTTTACGAGGATTCGGCTTTTGGGGCTGAATTTTGTGGAGGGTTCAATTTTCAGGGTTTAGGGTTTAAGGATTAGGGGTTCAGTGCTTCAGGGTTTCATCCCCGAGCTGCGACAGCGAGAGCCCCGCCAGCCAGGGCCGCCCATGCCCATGCAGGCCAGAGAGTCTTCTTCGGCGGCGGCTGATACCTCGGGTTTACTTGGAGGTTCATGAGTACTTCTTCACCTTCAAGTATTGTGCTTATGACCACCAAATTGGAGCCATGTTTGGGTACTTAAGGGGCCTTGCAGGTGAACTTTCGCTACAGTGATCATTGGGTTACAAGTACCCTGAAACCAAAAGCCTAAACCATGCAACCGCAGTTTCCTAGCAACAAGCAAACCTGGAGAGCCCCTTGAATGCTTCATGGGGGTTCCATAGGGGACCCATCCGAAATAACAACAACAAAAATCAAGACTTGGGATGCCCTCCTTATACTGACGGTCCTGACTAGGGATTATCATAGGGGGTACTAGAATCCCGGTTAAATTCCCGTGAGGCCCTGCACTCCTAGCCTTCTCCCACAAGCCCGAAGTAGACCACAAAAGCCCGAGACATACACTCCCCGACACTAAACCCCGGCAAACCTATACCCTATAGACCCTAGATCCTTAAAACCCTAAACCCTTAAAACCCTAAACCCTAGATAGACCCTGATAACCCTGAACCCTAAACCTTATAAGCACCAGAGACTCCTGAACCAAGAGCCCCCCCCCCCCCCCCCCCCCCCCCCCCCCCCACCCCCCACCAGTCTTTCCACGAGCCACTGGCTGCAGTCTTTCTGGCAGGGGTCGGAGGCCGCGAATGTCAAGGCCAGGCAGCAGGCCTTCAGAGGGTTTCGGGTTTGGGGTTTAGGAGTTTAGGAGCTCAGGAGTTGAGGAGTGAGAGCACAGGGTTTGGATTTTCTGGGCTGTTAGGGCTTATTGGGCTTAGGGATTGTAGGGTTTAGGGCTTAGAAAGGGCTTATCTTCCCCCTAAGCCCTGAGCTCTATCGGGTTCAGGACAGAGAGGTGCTGGCACACCGTCTTAAGGCGTAGGTGGCAAACAATCTGCACGGGGCCTGCGCAGGCTTTGTGCAGGTTTTCAGCCTAAACCCTAAACCCTAAACCCTAAACCCGAAACCCTAAACCCTAAACCCAAGAACCATGGGGCTTGAGGTCTTCTAGGGCTTGCAGCTTATGGGCTCTTAGAAAGTGCGAGAGCTGCTTGGGTGGGTGTCACAGTGCTGAACCTTCACCAGGAACGCTAAACCCTAAACCCTAAACCCTAAACCCTAAACCCTAAACCCTAAACCCTAACCCCGAAACCCAAAATCCTAAACCTGCCTCCTGATTGTTCTTGGCACAGTCGGAGCCCACGCCGTGCGCGCACTGCTGCCACCGTGCCTTGCAATCCTTCGCAGTGACTGGAAGGACAACTACCTCAAGCCCCTAAACAGTACCTGGGACACTGTTTACCTACAGTTTGGTAGCAACTACCCCTTAGTTAGTAGGTATTAAACTGTAGGTAAAGAGAGTCCCAGGTAAACCCCAATACCTCAGATTTCTTTGGTTCTATCTACAAGTGAGCATGAAGATTGAACTCTTGATCAAGGGGCGTTTGAGGTTGGGGGTTCGCGGTTTGGGGCACATGGGCTTATAGGGCTCTTAGAGAATATTGGGTTTTGGGGTTTTAGGGTGTACCCTAAACCCTCAACCCTAAACCCTAAGCCCTAAACCCTACACCCCAAAGCCTAAATTCTAAAGCCTGCAACTTCCACCCTTGCTCTCAAGCGCCTGCAACCCCTGGCAAACGAGTCTGCTTATACATGGGGTTCTCAGGGGATATTGTAGGCGATTGTAGAGATGTTTAAGTTTTAAAATTGCTCCGATACAATCCCGAACCCTCCTGCCAACTTTCCCCGTCCACCACAACTATTCAATGTGTACATTACTTGTGTTTGCAACAATAAGGATAAGAGAATGTTGGGGGTATATTCGGGGCAATAAACTGCTTATTGCCCAATAACTGTGATAAATCATCGGATACGATGTTGCGCCTGTGATGTTCGTTGGCATGGATCTGCAGCCGAAACCGAAATATTTCCTCCAGCAGCCCGGTGGCAGGGCTTGGGCTAAAGACAGGTTTGACTTAGATCCCAGTGAGCTAAAAGCGGCAATGACCTGTATAAGCCCCTAGACTCTACACCCCACACCTTAACAACCAAGAGTGAATTTGCTGGAACCAGAGACCAGAGGGTTCTTGGGCCGAAACATTTGAGTTTGCAACACTTGCTTGCGGCAAAACGAAGGAGCTGGTACAAGTTGATGCTGCGGGACTGCCTACCTCCAATGTTGATCAAAATGAGTGAAGGTGATGTTCCTGAACAACCCGTTTCTATAAGGGGAATTACATGGTTCCCTAATGAGGGATATATCGCGGTTCCCGAATTTGAGGGCCCATACTAAGGGACCATGTAACAACCTACGAGAAGAACGTCTGGTATAACTAGGTCTACACTGGATCCCAGCCGTTATAATAAAAGGGATACAGTAGGGTCCTCTCATGTCACTCGAATCATCACTCCTTAATGTTAAACCAAATCTCAAATGCTAGTGTATGTCAATGTGGTATTTCAATGCATGTCATAAAAGGCTCCACATAGCCCCAAGGCAGGTAGTACTAATCTACTTCAGACACTGAAGAACCCTGAACCCGGAATCCTCAACCAATTGTCATCCCCAAGCCCCAAACCCTACACCCTAAACCCTAAACCTTTAGGGTTCTTCTGGGCGTTGCAGCTCCCGATGTGCTCAAAAACCCCAGGGTTTAGGGTTTAGGGTTCAGGGCTAGCCCTAAACCCCAGGGTTTAGGGTTTAGGGCTAGCCCTAATCCCCAGGGTTTGGGGTTTAGGGCTTAGGGTCTAGGGTGCGGGCGGTCTAGGGCGCGGGGTTCAGGGGTTAGGGTAGCTTTAACCCTTAACTCTCAGCCCAAACGCCGAGCCTCCAGGGCGCAAGCAGCAGATGCGCTGGCCATAAGATGTGCAGTCATAGCCCTCGCCATGTGGACATGGCCTTTGTGGAGTCTATCAGGGTTTGGGGCTTAGGGTTTAGGGTGTAGGGTGTAAGGGTTCAGGGTTTAAGGCTATGGGCGCGAAAGGCGTTGAAGACTTTCAGTCCTTAGCTTAGACCTTTCGGGCTTGCTTGGTTCAAGGGTAGCGCCTCCCTGGGGTCATTCAACGCCCCGAAGAGTGGAAATCGGAATTTCTGAATAAGGGGAAAAATCGCGGGAGCCTTACATACCCAAAGCCTAAGCTCAGGGAAGTAGGGTTCGAGGGTTTTAGGGTTTAGGGTTTGAGGGTTTCAGGGTTCCACACGGGGGCAAATCACTGATCCATGGTCCCCTCAAACAAGAGGTGCTGACTTAAGGGTTTTACGGCCCCTAGACCCTCGACTCTAGAGCTTTGGACCCAGAATCTTACAAGCCCCATACCCTAAACCTCAAATACTGAACCCTAAACCTCTAAACGCCTAAACTATACCCCGACAACCTAAACCCCAAACCCCAAGCACCTAAACCCCAAAATTCTAAAACCTGTTCCCCTAAAACACCTGAATTTAAACCCCAAACTTCTAAACCCTACACACCTAAACCCCTAAGCAACCCTAAACACCCCAACCTCTAAACCCTGAAACCCAAAACTCCAAATCCTTTACCCCTAAGCCCCTCAACTCTAAACACCAAAACCCTACAACCCAATCTTCTAAACCCTTTACCCGTAAACCCTAAACTCTAAACACCTCAACCCCTAAACCCTACAGCCCAATCTTCCAAACCCTGTACCCCTAAACCCTAAACCCTGAACCCCTGAACCCCTGAACCCCTGAACCCCTGAACCCCTAAACCCCTAAACCCCTAAACCCCTAAACCCCTAAACCCCTAAACCCCCAAACCCCTAAACCCCTAAACCCCTAAACCCCCTAAACCCCTAACCCCTAAACCCCTAACCCCCTAACCCCCTAAACCCCTAACCCCTAAACCCCTAAACCCCTAAACCCCTAAACCCCTAAACCCCTTAAACCCCTAAACCCCTAAACCCCTAAACCCCTAAACCCCTAAACCCCTAAACCCCTAAACCCCTAAACCCCTAACCCCCTAAACCCCTAAACCCCTAAACCCCTAAACCCCTAAACCCCTAAACCCCTAAACCCCTAAACCCCTAAACCCCTAAACCCCTAAACCCCTAAACCCCTTCTTGTTGCTATCAAGTTGTTTCAATCTCTTCTCACAACTACTTACACGAAACCCGAAACCCGAAACCCGAAACCCGAAACCCTAAACCCTGAACCCCAAACCCTAAACCCTGAACCCTACACCCTAAACCCTGAACCCTAAATCCTGAACCCCAAGCCCCAAACTCAAAGCCCAAAAAAAGACCCCAAACCCTAAACCCCAAGCCCTAAACCCCAGCTCAGAACAGGTCCCCGTCGCGCCGTGGCCGCAGCGACTCGCACAGGCAGAGCGCCCAATCGACTCCGAAACCCCCCAAGCCACTAATGGCAGCCCTGAACCCTGAACCCTGAACCCTGAACCCCTGAACCCCTGAACCCCTGAACCCCTGAACCCCTAAACCCCTAAACCCCTAAACCCCTAAACCCCTAAACCCCTAAACCCCTAAACCCCTAACCCCCTAAACCCCTAACCCCCTAAACCCCTAAACCCCTAAACCCCTAAACCCCTAAACCCCTAAACCCCTAAACCCCTAAACCCCTAAACCCCTAAACCCCTAAACCCCTAAACCCCTAAACCCCTAAACCCCTAAACCCCTAAACCCCTAAACCCCTACACCCCTAAACCCCTACACCCCTAAACCCCTAAACCCCTAAACCCCTAAACCCCTAAACCCCTAAACCCCTAAACCCCTAAACCCCTAAACCCCTAAACCCCTAAACCCCTAAACCCCTAAACCCCTAAACCCCTAAACCCCTAAACCCCTAAACCCCTAAACACCTAAACCCCTAAACCCCTAAACCCCTAAACCCCTAAACCCCTAAACCCCTAAACCCCTAAACCCCTAAACCCCTAAACCCCTAAACCCCTAAACCCCTAAACCCCTAAACCCTAAACCCTAAACCCTAAACCCTAAACCCTAAACCCTAAACCCTAAAACCCTAAACGCATGTCCAAGAATCTGGTACAGCGAGCAGTTGCGAGGCTGGCAGGGCGAGTGCGGGTCTGGATCTGCCGTGTGGTGCTCATCCCCTCCAGGAAGGGCGGAGGGGTTTAGGGTTTAGGGTTTAGGGTTTAGGGTTTAGGGTTTGGGGTTTGGGGTTTAGGGTTTCGGGTTGAGGCTTTCGGGTTTAGGATTCAAAGAACTTATGATAAGAACATTCGTGGCATGTAAAGGAAACTTCTCACGCAAGGGGTTTTGGAAGTTGTGGCTTTCGCCAGCAAGTTGAAACGCTTAGGGCTTAGGGTTTAGGGTTTAGGTTTTAGGGTTTAGGGTTTAGAGTTTAGGGCTTAGGGTTTAGGGTTTAGGAGCCCAAGCCTGAAACCCAAAAGCCCTTAAGCCCTGGATCCTCAACCCGTAAGGCTAGCACCCGATCCAAGCCAGCCGCCAAAAGAGTCCAAAAGGTATGGAAAGTTTCATGCAACTCGTATCTAAGTTTAGGCTAAACCCTAAACCCTAAACCCTAAACCCTAAACCCTAAACCCTAAACCCTAAACCCTAAACCCTAAACCCTAAACCCTAAACCCTAAACCCTAAACCCTAACCTAAACCCTAAACCCTAAACCCTAAACCCTAAACCCTAAACCCTAAACCCTAAACCCTAAACCCTAAACCCTAAACCCTAAACCCTAAACCCTAACCCCCCAGTATCCTAGAAAACAAAGGCACCCTCTGTGGCTTATTCAGCTGTATAGAGGGATCCTGACCCTGAAATCGGAAAGAAGGGCACCTCTGACCATCCTAGTAGGCCTAAACCCTAAACCCTAAACCCCAAACCCCAAACCCCAAACCCTAAACCCTAAACCCTAACAGGACTACAGAAAGGATGGCTTCTTTTGTCGTAGACACCGTGGCAGGGGGAGACTAGGTTGGACTCCACAATCGGGCCATAGCCGCACCACCAAAGCTTGGCAAATAAACCTCTAGCCCAACCTTCCTTACGCTTATGCACCCTAAATCCCCTAAACCCTAAACCCCAAACCTTAAACCCTAAACCCTGAAGTAATGCGTCCACACGCTCCCTCACCACCAGCCTTGTACCCACAGGCCTTGGAACTCAGGGATCTCATGGCCAAAGGCCAAAGGGTCTGGAGGGTGTATAGGGGTTTCTAGAGGTTTATAGGGGTTCATAGGGTATATAAGGGTTTCTAGGGGTTTAAATGGGTTTAGAAGGGATTACAGGTTTCTAGGGTTTCTAGGGGTTTTAGGGGTTTAGAGGGGATTACAGGGGGTTTATGGGGGTTTGGAGGGCTTATGGACCAACAAAACCCATCCCCGTGACTAAGCATCCAGCCTACGAAGATACAAGCGAAACCCTACACATGCTCCGGGGCCCTAGATGCCAAGCCCTGAGCCAAAAGCCCTAAACCCTGTGAACCAAAGGTCTGAACAATGGCCACCCAGCTGTAGCGGGATTCCGTTTCAACCTGAAATTGGTTCGGGATCTACGTTGCGGAACTCTCAAAGCTGGCGCCCAAACAATTAGGGTTTAGGGTTTAGGGTTTTGGGTTTAGGGTTATGGACTTGCACTTTTTACAGTAAGCCCCCCGAAATCTGCGTCCAGTAGTGCAACAAAGACGTTCAGGGGACCCACCCCCCCCAACCCCCAACATGGCCAAATCGAGCCGACTTGGTGATAATCCAGGGCCACCCCCCCCCCCCCCCCCCCCCCCCCCCCCCAACCCCCCCCAACCCCCCCCAACCCCCCCCAAACGTAAAACCTACACACCCCAAACCGTAAAACCCCAAAATCCTGAAACGAAACTCTGAACCCCTTCCCCCCTTAACACTGCTGTAACAACCCAGAACCCTACACATTCAAACCCCCAATTCCTGAAACCCTAAAACGCTCAAACCCTAAACCCTAAACCCTAAACCCTAAACCCTAAACCCTAAACCCTAAACCCTACACCCCAAACCCTAAACCCTAAACCCTAAACCCTAAACCGAGCCGAGGGGCAGCAGGGCGTCTCATTCTGGAGGCAATTAAGGCCTTGCCCGCGGATGCAGCAGCCTCGCTGTTCCTGTCGTTGGGGTAGTACGGAAGCCTAAACCCTAAACCCTAACCCCTAAACCCTAAACCCTAAACCCTAAACCCTAAACCCTAAACCCTAATGAACCCCTAAACCCTAATTAAACCTGAAACCCGAAACTTTTCTCCCTTAACCCAACCACATGTTTAAGGTGGAGGGCTCCATGGGCCACATGTGGCTCAGGAAGTCTTGGGGGCCCTAAACCCTAAACCCTCAACCCACGCAGCGCCTCTTTACAGGCCCCCCCCCCCCCCCCCGTAACTGGACCTTTGAACCCTCAACCCAGACCAGGTCAGGTAGTCCTGTTCTGAAGCGCTGGCTCCCTCCACCACGCAACAGGGCATTCCTTGGCTCAGGAGTCGGCCCCTAGGAGTTTTGGAGTTGAAGCACGTTAAAGATAGCTTCAAGATTTCAGGGTCCAGGGCTCAGAAATTCATGTCGCGTCGTTTGTTCCCAGAATGCTGAACCCGAAGCCACCACCAAACTGCTTTAGAGTGAGGCACCCCCCTTGCCCTGGCGTGGGCCTTTCAGCGTCCGCCCGCACTTGTGCGGAAAGCCTCAGGTAAGAAGCCAGACGTCTCGGACATGTGGTTGAGGTACAGTATCAGCAGCCGAAAAAAATCCCTAAACCGTAAACCCTAAACCCTAAATCCTAAACCCTAAACCCAAGAACCCCAAACCCTCAAAAACCTTCAAGTCAGTACGGCAGCCATGGTCGCCCGGTCTGCAGCAGCCATCCCCACAAACGGTAGATCCTGTCGTACAGCACCCGAACCTGAGATAGGGTTTAGGGTTTAGGGTTTTGGGGTTTAGGGTTTGGGGCCGACTGTGTGTGAGAGAGACTTGGATTGGATTTAGGGTTTGGGGTTTGGGGTTTGCGGTTGTGTTTGAGGGTCTACAGTTTAAAACAACACTGCCAGAACAATAGTGTGCACGAACTAGTCAGCTGATCAAGTCACTTGCAGAATGTACCGTTCGCCTTGACAATCGACTGCCGCTCACATGGGTAGCGCCCCTTTGCCTTACTTCTCCAATGACAAAGGGGAAAAAGCTTAAACTTTATTATTCCTACTAAATAATGAAACCCAAAAAGTCTAAAGCTCAACCCTAAACCCTAAACCCTAAACCCAACACCCTAAACCCTAAAACTAATTATTTGCTAATTAAGTAAGTTGCGTTAGGCTTTGGCATCTGCTCTTTGTCACAGCACGCCGCAACGTTGGTCTGATCCGGGCCCCAGCCGCAAGACAAGCACACCTCTAGGCTTTGAGGGTTTTGGGTTTAGGGTTCAGGGTTTAGGGTAACCTGCAGGGGGCTTACTCCACATTATGTACCCCCCCCGTGCAAAACAGCACTTTACATTTTAGTCTTAATCTTACACCAAGAATAATATGCAGTTTTGTAGTGTCACATGCATGTTTACATAACACAGGCAAGCCTATTGCTGTGTATGATTTTATATGCCTTTCAGAACCGGTTTTGTGGCCGCAACATGATGTCAAGCCCCACCTGACCGGTGCACTGCCAGGGATCCCCGCAAATCTTGTGGTGCTTCGGGTACTCGACGCCCGAACAGGTCCTAGGAAGGCCCTTAAGACCCTCTTAAACATATTCCTGAAAAGGATCCTCTTAAGAATGTTTCTGAAAAGGATCCTCTTAAACCCAATAAGGGAAAATATCAGATGTCCCAAGGGCCTACCGAGGGTCTGATAATGGTCGAAACTGCTGCCGTGTATGGGCGCGGCCCATACCCCAGCAACCAGGTGCGCCAGCCAAGCACCGCGCAACATGTTCGACCTTAGTTGGGCATCCCAACAGTTGTACCCTAAAGCCTGAGGTTTAGGGTTTAGGGTTTAGGCTTTAGGGTTTAGGGTTTAGGGTTGAGGGTTTAGGGTTTAGGAAACATGAACAAAACATACTAGGGAATTAGGGATTGCATCTCCCGAAACAACTTTTGCAGGGACTACATTGGGAACCTAATTCCTTAAGTCCGTATTAAAGGACCTGTAGGCCAGGAGAATGCTGTGTTGCAATGGGTCTTACAGGAGTCCTAGTCCTCACCGGAAGGAAGGGAATGAAGCTACCCTGGGCATGCTGGAATCGTATGGATTGCCATGGCAGCTGACTCAAACCCCAAACCTCAAACCCTCAACAACCCTAAACCCTCAACAACCCAAGCCCTAAACCCTAAACCCTAAACCCAAAACCCTAAACAACCCTAAACCCTAAACCCTAAACCCCAAACCCTAAACCCTACCCCTAAACCCTAAACCCCCAAAGTTCCAGCGCAGCCGGGCAGCAGCCAACTCTCTCTGTCGATGCTGCGGGGAGCGGCGCTTGAGCATGACCACAGTTTGTGCGGGGAGTACTTTGGGTCTCCACAAGTCCTAAACCCTAAACCCTAAACCCTAAACCCCCTAAACCCCCTAAACCCCCTAAACCCTAAACCCCCTAAACCCAAACCCCCCTAAACCCCCTAAACCCTGGAGCCCTCCACAGCTCTGGGATCCTCGGGTGGTAGAGCTTGCTCCAGTAGGAATAGGAAGGGTTTGGGTGGCAAGAGGTGCAGGGCTTGTGGGGCTCAGGCTTTCGGGCTCATGTTTAGGGTTTAGGGTTTAGGGTTTAGGGTTAGGGTTTAGGGTTTAGGGTTTAGGGTTTAGGGTTTAGGGTTTAGGGTTTAGGGTTTAGGGTTTAGGGTTTAGGGTTTAGGGTTTAGGGTTTAGGGTTTAGGGTTTAGGGTTACTACCCAAAACCCAAAACCCAAAGCCCACAACCCTAAACCCTAAACACCATATTCCAAGGTCCTTTATAAAACCTAAACCCTAAACCCTAAACCCTAAACCCTAAACCCTAAACCCTAAACCCTAAACCCTAAACCCTAAACCCTAAACCCTAAACCCTAAACCCGAAACCCGAAACCCGAAACCCTAAACCCTAAACCCTGAACCCTGAACCCTGAACCCTGAACCCTGAACCCTGAACCCTGAACCCTGAACCCTGAACCCTGCCCTGGCACCCTCTTGTCACGCACGGCGGGGTTGTGGGAAGACCGATGCTTGGTCGCGGGAAACTATTCCGAGGGCATTCGCAGCTCGTCTCGAGCAGCCGGGCCGCCAGTGCCATGTTTTTGCAAGCTTGGGGTATAGTGGAGTTTAGGGTTTAGGGTTTAGGGTTTAGGGTTTAGGGTTTAGGGTTTAGGGTTTAGGGTTTAGGGTTTAGGGTTAGTCAAAATCCCATAGCCCGAAACCCCCAGCATCTGGCGGCCCGGTCGATCCGTGCTCCTCTTTCCCTCTCACCAAGTGGCCAAAGGGCACCCTAGTGCACCTAGTCGCGCCCTGAAACCACCAGAATCAGAAGCCAACGTTCTGACAAAAGATGCAGCTGCCAGGCCGTGCGGTTTCGCGCAGCCTTCGGCAGACTTTTTTCAAGCGATTCTCGGGGGCAAAACGCTCTTGCGGGGCTGGTGGCTGCTGCGTGAGATCTGGGCTGCTCTCCTGCTTTGTCGTTCGTAAGCCTAAACCGTATCCCTAAACCCTAAACCCTAAACCCTAAACCCTGAACCCTAATGCAACTTTGACTTGGTAAGTGGGTGTTCCTCGCTTCCGCGTGAGGGTAGGGCAGTGGGCGGGTGTACCATATTAGGGTGTAAAGTTTAGGGAGCGTTCTCCTAAGAGAGGTACCCAGCTCAGGCAGGGCTCAACCCTGGCGCCCCTGGCGCCTGACCCCCCTTACCCCTGCCCCTGGCCCTGGCCACTGGCCCCCCTGATTCCTGCCTGAGATCTTTCTACTGTTTGGCTCCCTGAAACTGCCTGGGACCCGACCCCCCTACCATTCCTTTGACTCTCGGACCCAACCCTGAACGTCATGAATCTGAATAAGGTGAAAGAAGTGGACTGTTGCCTTAAGACTAGGCCTAAACCCGAATAGGTTTGGGTGGCTTTGCCGCCTCGGGAGAAAAGCTTTCGAGCTTGTTCCGAAACCTAACCATCACCTATCATAGCAAACCCTAAACCCTAAACCCTGAACCCTGAACCCTAAACCCTAAACCCTAAACCCTAAACCCTAAGCCCTAAACCCTAAACCCTAAACCCTAAACTGCCGAGAGCACCGCGTGTCCATTTGCATGGGGGCTTCGACCGAGGTCCCCGACCGAGTGTCTCGACAGAACGATGAGGGGGGTAAAGCTTCCCGGTAGATGGGGCCTGCAGTGCCTGGCCACGCCATAATTAGGACCCCAAACCCCAAGCCTGGCGCCCCCTTCCTGCCCCCCTGAACCTCGGACCCCCCCTCCATTGAAAGCCACGATTTTGGGCACCCCTTCGCTTTACTCCGCCGCGAAAGCCCCAAGAAGGCCCACGAGCCACTAACAGGCTCCAGAAAGCTCCAGGAGGCCCCACCCTGCTCTTCCTCTGTAAAAAGCAAGAAAGCCCCCCCCAAACCCTAAACCCTAAAGTGGGAATAGTTTGGGTGGTTGAGGTGGGACTACATGCTATCGCAAGCGAGCGGCCTGGGTGCCTTTACCACTAGCGAGCTTCCCTCTACACACCCTAAACCCTAAACCCTAAACCCTAAACCCTAAACCCTAAACCCTAAACGCTAAACGCTAAACGCTAAACCTTAAACCCTAAACCCTAAACCCTAAACCCTAAACCCTAAACCCTAAACCCTAAACCCTAAGCCACCCCGCAAGCATCTGCTGCACCTCTTAGCTGAAGGCCGTCCTTGGGAAGCATTGAGACCCCGGCATGTCCGAGACATGGGCAACACCAAAGTTTAGGGTTTAGGGGTTAGGGTTTAGGTTTAGGGTTTAGGGTTTAGGGTTTAGGATTTAGGGTTTGGGGAACTCGAAACCCTAAACTTTGAAGGGTAGTTTCCAGGGCTTTGGTACGGGCGATGACCCCCTTCTGCGCTAGAAAACGAAAGGTGCGAATACTTCCGTAAGGGGCCATAGCGACTACCCTAAGCCCCAAACCCTAAACCCCAAACCCTAAATCCTAAATCCTAAACCCTAAACCCTAAACCCTAAGCAACCCTGAAGCTGCAGCCCCAACAGCCCCGATTGCAGGGGTGAGGGCCTCGGCAGGTAGAGCTCACCTAAACCCGTCCGAATCCCTACGAAAACAACTGGAGTAGGGTTTAGGGTTTAGGGTTTAGGGTTTAGGGTTTAGGGGTTAGGGTTCAGGGCTCAGAAAACTGCTCGGACATTTGCCGGGGCATCATCAAGGAAGCGGCGCCTGCTAGCCACAGAGTCGACCTTGCACACGTACTTTGAATAAGTATTTCCTACCAGTTTACTAAACCCTGAACCCTGAACCCCACACCCTAAACCCTAAACCCTAAACCCTAAACCCTAAACCCTAAACCCTAAACCCTAAACCCCAAAATGCAGGTTCCCCCGGAAACCTAGAAATGACAAGGGGGTGGGACGAAGTCGGGGAACCTTCGCCCGGCTCAGGGTTTAGAGTTTAGGGCACTGCTGCCTGTTTTTTTTAGTTCGTTTTAGGGTTTAGGGTTAGGGTTTAGGGTTTAGGGCACTGCTGCCTGTTTTTTTTTGGTTCGTTTTAGGGTTTAGGGTTAGGGTTTAGGGTTTAGGGTTTAAGTTTAGGGGTTCCGGGGTTTGTTCCGGTTTAGGGTCTAGGGCTTGGAGGTTTCGAGCTTAGGGCACTTCGTTTTCGGGTTTAGGGTTTTAGGGTTTAGGCTTCGGGGCTTAGGGCTTAGGGCACCCACCGACCCCACTCGCCGTTTTCGGCAGAGTTAAAGCAAGCAGGGTTCAGGGAGTACTCTAGGGGAGAATAGGGTTTTGGGGGGGCCATTACAGTACAAATTATAGGGACCATAAGGGAATGCTATTCGTGACACTCCGACCCCCTAGTGTGTGAGGCTGTAGAAACAAGCGGCTGAGCTATCATATGGGGGTTTACGAACTTAGGGGTACCTTATTGGGGTCCTTACAACAAGGGAATCCTACGATTTGGGGGTCTATATTAGGGATTGCCTATTCTATTTTCGTAAGCCCCCAATTCACTCAAGATATCACAAACATTGCAATGATTTCTATATACCAACGGTCCTGACTAGGGATAGTAAGGGCTACCTAGAATCCCTATTTGGACTCTCAGTATAACGGGGGACATCCCACGTTTCTAGGCTTAAATGAAGCCTTGAAACATATGGGGCAATTCACTCAAGTAAAGCATTCAGGGGTCCAACTGGTTGTTTCGCGGAGGCTCGCATCAAGGATGGCTCGCGAGGGTTTAGGATTTAGGGTTTGGGGTTTAGGGTTTAGGGTTTGGGGTTTAGGGTTTGGGGTTTGGGATTTGGGGTTTGGGGTTTAGGGTCTGGGTCCCAGGTGTGTGTCTGTTGTGTTTTGGGACCCTCAGCCCCAAACCGCCCTGATCTCCGGACCCTAAAACCCTGAACCCTGAAACCTAAGACAACACACTCTAAAACTCTAAACCCTGAAAACCCTGAAAGCCCCAAAACCCTGAAAGCCCTAAACCCTAAACCCCAAAAAACCCAACAGTCCTAAACCCGGACCCCTGCACTGGGGTTTTTACGGATCTTTCGCTAGGTTGCCCAATATCCGAAGCACAACAAGGGCAGCTTCTTTGCTTAAAGGGGTTGGTGAAGGATCCTTAGCAAAAAAAGGAAGAAGGCCAATTGCTCGATTCTAGAAATGTCGCAGCAAGCTGCTGCAAGGTCGCTGCTGATGTGGAAACGTATAGGGCAGTGCAGCCCTTCTGCACGGGTATTGAATTAGCAAGCATGCCGCCTCTGCTTCAAGTGGGTGCCAGCATACGGGCTTCAAAACCACAGGCTCGCTTGACTTCGCGCGCCCGCCACACCGCCGGAGTATCAGAAGCCTCAGATTTCTACTACCTGGCTGTTCTTCTATGCATTCGCTCGTCAGCCTTTCCCTTGTGTTTGTGTGCATTTTGGGTTGCCGATGTGGTTCGGCAAACTTGGCGACCGGAGGGCCGCGCGCTCTTCTCAGGGTCAGTGGAGCAACCACGAGCCGATTTTGCACATCATTGCTGTGCTAGCTGCGTGGCAGGCAGCAGCTTGGTATTGCAATTGCATGACTCAATGTGGAACATGTGCACTGGGGTTTTAAAAAACAGCTCCCAGGCAGGGGTTTCTTCTTGAAACAGTCACGGAACATGACGTGGAAACTGAGACCTCTCGCCAGCAGGGAGCTCAGTACGACTCCTCTGAGTAGCGTCCCGCAGCCTGGAAGTCCTGGTCGAAGAGGCCAGCTGGGGGCCGGGTCTACCCTAAACCCTAAACCCTAAACCCTAAACCCTAAACCCTAAACCCTAAACCCTAAACCCTAAACCCTAAACCCTAAACCCTAAACCCTAAACCCTAAACCCTAAACCCTAAACCCTAACCCTAAACCCCCTTTAATTGCCAGGGCTCGTCTAGGGTTACCCCGAGCCAGATGAACAGCGACACGCCCTTGACTCCAAACCTTACACACCCTGAACCCAAAACTTAAAACCCTACACCCCCTGAACCCTGAACCCTAAACCCTACACACCCCAAACACTCAACCCCCCGCAAACTCTACTATGCACCCCTTAGTAGCCCAGCAGCCATAGTATGATAAGGGCACCCTGTGCGGGCCGGGTTACCCTAAGGGAACCCAGAACCGAAAAAAAGGTAAAGGGCACCAGTGGGCTACCAAGAGCCTGAGGGTGGACAGGTTCCATATGGGACCTTTTGTACCCTCTAACCCCTCGAATAGGCCCCTTGATCATGGGATTTATAGGCCTGAAACCCTAAACCCTAAACCCTAAACCCTGAACCCTGAACCCTAAACCCTAAACCCAAACCCTAAACCCTAAACCCTAAACCCCAAACCCTAAACCCTAAACCCCAAACCCGAAACCCTAAACCTCATCCTGGTGTTCTGGGGCGGTCCTTGAACCAGAGTTCGGCTTCGGCGTCCGTCTTCGGGGTCGGCCACATGTCCTTCTCCGCCTGCGCCGGGGCCTCGACAAGGGCTTCTTAGGGCTCAGATCTTGGGTTTGTGGGGTTTAGGGTTTAGGGTTTAGGGTTTAGGGTTTAGGGCTTAGTGTTTAGGGTTTAGGGCTTATGGGGTTTAGGCTCATGGGGCTCATGGGGGTTTATTATATCGGAGTTTATCATAGGGTTTATCGGGGGGGAGGTTAGAGAGGGCTTCTTAGGGCTCAGTGGGCTCTTAGGGTTTGTAGGGCGGGGTTTGTAGGGTTTCTAGGGTTTATGCGGTTCATTGGGTTCATAGATAGGGTTTATAGGGTTTGTGGGGTTTATAGGGGATCGAAAGGGGGGGCTTCCTAGGCCAAGCACGAAGAAACCCGAAGATCAAAATCCTTGGACCGCAACACCTGAGCCCAAGCCCTAACCTGTAACCCAAGCACCCCAGACCCGATCAAACCTAAACCCCAAACCCTAAACCCTAAACCCCAAACGCTAAACCCAAAACTCTAAACCCAAAAACCTAAACCCTAAACCCCAAACCCTAAACCCTAACTTTAAACCCCGAACCCTCACCCTGAAGACGCGTACCCGGGGAAGGTCGATTGGGATGTCGAACGTGCTGCTCCCAACCTGATTCTCACGTGCAGCCCGCGAGAGTTGAGTTGTGCGCGCCTGGGCCACCGTGCCGGCAACGACCGTCAAAGATCGAATCGACGGGTGTTCTGCCAAAGCGACCCTAAACCCTAAACCCTAAACCCTAAACCCTAAACCCTAAACCCTAAACCCTAAACCCTAAACCCTAAACCCTAAACCCTAAACCCTAAACCCTAAACCAGGACCGCGGCTTCAACCTTTGCGCAAGTTGCTTGACTGGCCAATGCTCGGCCTTCTTGATCTCTTCCTCCGTCTGCTTGATCCACGGAGAAACACGATGCCAGGTGTACCCCTGGTAGCCGCAGGGTCCATGCACATCATTGCCAGCCCACGAAATGAACACATCCAACCCGTCAGTCAGGGTGGTGGACAGTCAGATAGAAGGGCCTTCTTCGGGTTTAGGGTTTAGGGTTTAGGGTTTAGGGTTTAGGGTCTAGGGTTTAGGGTTTAGGGCCCTCAAGGCTGCATCCCCCAAAACGGTAGACTTCAGGGTGTGCAGGGCGTATGGTTTGAGGGTATTGCAAGGTTTGTGAAGGTTTTCGTTGGCTTGTGTAGGCCTTTGCATGGCTTGTGGGCTTCAGGGTGCTCTGAAACACTATCCCTAAACCCTAAACCCTAAACCCTAAACCCTAAACCCTAAACCCTAAACCCTAAACCCTAAACCCTAAACCTCAAACCCCAGACCCTCAACTTGTCAACCCTCAACCCTGAGCCCTAAACTCTAAACCCCATCCGTCGTCTCCCAGTGTAGGCTTCCCCAGTCATCGGACAGAACGAGCGCAAGCCCTCTGAAAGGACTTTCAAGAAGGGCGCACCCCAAAATCCTCAAACCCTCAGCCCTACAGCCCCTATACCCTGAACCCTCAACCCCAAAACCCTGATGTAGCCCCATAAAGCATAACCAGGACTAATCCTAAGCCCTAAACTTGTAACCTATGCACCTGAAACCTCTACACCCTATGTACCCTACACACCCTGCAAACCCTACAAACCCTGTCATCCCGATAAACCCTGTAAACCCTATACACCCCAGACACCGTGAACACCCTATCAACCCTGTAAACCCTGAAAAACCCTGTAAAACCTACAAACCCTACTATAAACCCTGAACCCTAAACCCTCCTATCCCTAAACCCTAAACCCTAAACCCTGCTATCCCTAAACCCTAAACCCTAAACCCTAAACCCTAAACCCTAAACCCTACTATCCCTAAACCCTACAACCCTACAACCCCTAGCCCGGAACCCACGACGCACGATGCTGATCCGCTTGGCGCCCCCGCATTCTGCGCACGCTTGAGGAGAGCAGCCTCTCACAGGTTCGGACTTTCTTAAACCCTAAACCCTAAACCCTAAACCCTAAACCCTAAACCCTAAACCCTAAACCCTAAACCCTAAACCCTAAACCCTAAACCCTAAACCCTAAACCCTAAACCCTAAACCGTGGGCGCTTGCGGGTGGGGGGGGGGGGGTGTCCAGTCCCTAAACCCGGAACCCTACATCCCATAAAGCGGAAGCCCTATAGACCCTCAACCCTATAAACTGTGTAAACCCTAAACTCTAACCCCTCAGCCCTAAACCCTAGGACCTAAACCTCAACCCTAAGCCGTTTAACCCACGGTTTCGGGGTTCGGGGGTCCTTCTTCTTGTTCGGGGCCTGGAAGAAGAGTCCAAAACACTGACAACCTACACGCCTAGGCCTCCAGACCCTACACTTCAGACCGCAACATCCATTTGCTTGAGAAACCCCGAAGAATAAAGAAGAATAGTTCCCATACTGCCCTTTAAGGAAGCCCAATTCATCTTTTTGGGGTGGCTGTTCAGCAAATAGTAGGTAATGCACCCGAATAAGCCCACAAGTATACTGAAAATACGGCCTTAGGCGTCTCCGGCTAGGATGGCCCTTAAAGGGCCTCTGAAAACTATTTCCTCTTAAACCCCAACTAGGCTGCCCAGTAGCCAAGGCTTAAAAAGGGTGCCCTTTTTTGCTTAAAGGGGTTTATAAGGGAAGCTAAACCCCCAAAAAAGGGAATAAGGGCACTACTGGGCATCCTAGAAAGGCCTCTGAAAACTATTTCCTCTTAAACCCCAATAAGGGAAAATATAAAACGGGTTTCGGGTTTAGGGTTGAAGGTTTTCAGGGTGTTGGGCTTAAAGGCTTGGGGCCCCGAGCCTGCTTTAGAGGTTTTGGGCCCCTCAACTTCCCTAAACTTCCCTAAACTCCCCTAAACCTTCTTTTAGAGGTTTTGGGGTCCTAAACCATAACCCTAGACTTCCCTAAACTCCCCACAACTTGCCTAACCTCCCTTAAACCTTCTTTTAGAGGTTTTGGGGTCCTAGACCCATAAACTTCCCTAGGCTTCACTACTCCCTTAAACTCCCCTAAACCCTAAACCCTAAACCCTAACCCTAAACCCTAAACCCTAAACCCTAAACCCTAAACCTTCAAAACCTTCAAAACCTTCAAAACCCCATTTCGCAGGTAGCTTCCTTACTTGGCCTAGTGCAGCTGGGCCCTAAACCACAAAACCCTAAATTTCCCCAACTAGCTCCCCTAAACTTTAAACCCAAAACCCTTCAAAACCCCCACGGCGCAGTTAGCTGCAGCTGGGCCTTGAGAGCCTTCTGCACGGAACCCTAAACTCCCCTAAACCCTAAACCCTCAACCCTGAAACCCTGAAACCCTAAACCCAGAAACCCTAAACCCTAAAGCCTAGGTCTTAAACAATCAAAACCCCCATGCTTTTTAGTGCAGCTGGGCCTTGAGAGCCTTCTGCACGGAGGGCGTGGCCACAGCGGGCCCGCACATGAAGAAGTAGCCGCCCTGCGAGCGCAACTTGGGGGGGGTGTCGGGCTTGGTTTAGGGATTATAGGGTTTAGGGTTTAGGGTTCAGGGTTTAGGGTTCAGGGTTCAGGGTTTAGGGTTCAGGGTTTAGGGTTCAGGGTTTAGCATTCAGGGTTTTATCAGGGTTAACAATCCCCATACTCCTTGGGATGTTCCCCCTTATACTAACAGTCCTTGATAGGGACTACAGCACTCCTATTATAATTTCTATTAAATCCTAAACCCCAAACCCCTGCACCCCCAGCCCTGAAACAAAAACGGAATAAGGGTACGGACCTGGGATGCCCGTATTGATAGAGGGCAACCCTTTGTCTCACTCTTCAGAAACCCTAACCCCTAAACCCTAAACCCCCTGAACACTAAACCCTAAACCCCCTGAACCCACACAAAACAGGGAATAGGGGTACTACTGGGAGACCTAGGTTGAAATAAGAATCAGAACAAGGTAACTCAGCTGGCCCCAATATACCCTTTTTTACTTCGGGGGGGGGGGGGGGGGGGTGGGATTCCGAACTTCCTTGTAGCAGCAGCCTTACCATCACCAACTGCAGGTACCCGAAACCCTAAAACCCCACAACCCCACAACCCCACAACCCCACAACCCCAAAATCCCAAAACCCCAAAACCCCAAAACCCTAAAACCCTAAAACCCTAAAACCCTAAAACCCTAAAACCCTAAAACCCTAAACCCTAAATCAAACCCTAAACCCTAAACCCCTCTGTTCGGGGTCTTTATTGCAGACAAGCTCCAAGGTACCATGCATATGCTTAGCCCCCAGGGTCAGTATACGGGAGAACCTAAGGTCCAAACCATATAAGGTTTAGGATTTAGGGTTTGGGGTTTAGGGCTTAGAGTTTAGGGTCTAGGGATGTATATTCAAAGTGTGAGCAGTGAGAAGCGTTCCGTATGCGAATTTTGCGATTTTTTTTAGCCCTTTTGGGGCCCTATGCGAGGGCTATGAACAGTTGTTAGTAGAAAGGTCGTAAGAGGGCTTTTTCCCTTCTACTCTTCTTTCTATCCTAGACCCTAAACCCTAAACCCGCGCCTTCTCCAACAGATTGTCACTGATCAGCTCAGGCCGCTCCGCCATCTTGTCCGACACAAAGATCCTGCGAGTTCAGGGGGCTTACTCCCAAAAAGGGTCTAGGGCTTCAGGTTTGTGGTTTAGGGGACTTACTAGGGGTTACTAGGGGTTTAGGGGGCTTACTCCCAAAAAAGGGTCTATAGGGCTATTAAGGTTTTGGGTCCCAAGTAGCCGCACCAAAAGACCCTCTTGCAGGCCATGCTGAGTGCCTCGTGTGGTTTCGGGCTCCCCTTACTTTCCCAACATGCTCTTAAACTTACTTCTCCAATAAACCAAGGGGAAGAAGGTTAGCCTTTAATATTCCTACTAAATAAGGAAGCCCAAAAAGTTTAAAGTTCAACTAAAGGCGAAGTAAGTAAACTACCAGAGACCTGCCAAGGGCCAAAGCGAAAAAGCCACAAAGCCCACAACACGAATCTAAACCCCAACCCTAAGCCCTAAAGCGGTTCACAGTTCAGCGCTTAGTGAGGCTTGGTGTGAAGACCTGCCCCCCCCCCCCCCCCCCCGCCGACCTTAAAGCCTAAACCTTAACCGCCGCCCAACAAATACTCCGCCAAACCCTTTGAATCCTCGACACCCCCAACCCTTCTTGGGTTTAGGGTTAGGGTTTAGGGTTTAGGGTTTAGGGTTTAGGGTTTAGGGTTTAGGGTTTAGGGTTTAGGGTTTAGGGTTTAGGGTTTAGGGTTTAGGGTTTAGGGTTTAGGGATTCGGGCTTAGGGGGAGCGAAGGCCTGAAGCTTCCCAAACCGGCCCCATGCCTCCCCTTAAGCTAGGCAAAAGCATCCCCCGAACGGGTTTCGGGTTTAGGGTTCAGAGTTTAGGGTTTGGGTTCAGAGTTTAGAGTTTAGAGTTTAGGGTTTAGGGTTTAGGGTTTAGGGTTTAGGGTTTAGGGTTTAGGGTTTAGGGTTTAGGGTTTAGGGTTTAGGGGTCCCTCTACCCTGCATCGAATCTCCAGGTTGCAGGCCAAGGGGCTGCTTCGGTGGGTAGTGGGGCTTGTCGAACCTTTGGGTTGAAGAAATGGGCTTCGTAAAGCCTATAAACCCTATAAACCCTATAAAGCCTATAAAGCCTATAAAGCCTATAAAGCATATAAAGCCTATAAAGCCTATAAAGCCTATAAAGCCTATAAACCCTATAAACCCTATAAACCCTATAAACCCTAGTGAGTCTAGGGCTTTAGGAATGAAGAGGAAATAGCTTTGCTTTCATGAATGGGCTTAGAGGGCTCAGGGCTTAGGGTTTAGGACTTCAGGACTGTGGGGGAAGGAACGCTTGAATTGCACTGGGGGCCTTGAGGGCTTCAGGGTTAAGGGTTAAGGTCAGGAAACTAAGTGTGTCTGGGGCTTCGGCTTCTACGCTTGAGCCAAGGGGCTTCTTTAGTCTGCGGACTAGGATGCTTGGTGCCCTTGCCCCGTGGCGCCGTGGATTCAAACCCCCTTTTTTTGACACCAGAAGGCCCCAATGTGAGCCTGTTCGCTGACGCATCAGAATCCCATCAACAAACCCCTGGAACCGAAAGCTGTCTTCCAACCCTCCGAATAAACGAAGCCAGTTTCGGGCTTAGGGGCCCCCTGTGCCCTTACATCCCCGAGACGTGTTCCACCTTGCAAAAAATCCCTACTTTGGAGTAGACCCTTCCAAAAAAGTATGTACCTTTTAGGCAGAAGTAGCTATAATCGGAACAAAGGACCAAAGAAGTATTACAGTATAGTACTCCAAAACCCAGAATTTGAGTGAGGCGGCTGGAAGGCGCCCACAAGCGCGCTCAAGATGCCCTCCTTCTCGTACATCCTCAGCTGCCGCCAGGAGTGAGACCCTGAACCCCAGGCCCCCAGATACCTGGAATTCTCTTCTTAAGGTGAAGGAAATGTCTGCTGCGGAGGAGCGGGTTTAGGGTTCAGGATTAAGGGTTTAGGGTTTAGTTAGTTGCTGAGTTCATAAGCCCCCAAAACACACTTTTTTGTTTACAGCACGCTGGATCTGAGCCTTTAGTGTTGTAGAGATGATAGTAGACCTACGAACTAAGGGGTAGCTACTACTAAGCTGTAGGTAAATAGAGTCAGGCAAAACCCTGAAACCCCCCACAAACCCTGAACCCTAAACCCAAACCTCCGCGCTGCTAGATTAGAACCACGTGCTTGACATTGGCCTAAGTGTCCCTTTACAAGAACCCTGTGCCCGCAATCCCGACACCCCAAAACCCTGCAAACCCTAAAACCTAAAAGCCTACACCAGCTTGCCCTAAACCTTGAACCCTTTGAACCCTGAAGCCCTAGAACCCTCGAAACCCTAATACCACGAAACCCTAAATCCATAACTCCCTTAACCCTAAAACTCAAAGAACCCTGAAGCCCTAAAGATCCTGGACGGACTTGCTGAAAAGCAGCTTCCACTCGTCCTTATAAAGGAGCTCCTCCTGGAAGACTTGCTTCTAATTCTATTTTTGTGGCGGGGGGGGGGAGAAGATGTTTGTTGGTGAGAGGGGGGGGGGGGTTGGGGTTGAGGAGACCTACGGGTACGTAGGGTCCCGAAACCCTAAAACCCGGAACCCTAAAGCCCCGAACCCTAAACCCCAAACCCTAAACCGTTCGGGGTGTAAAGGGGGAGGGGGTCCCCTAAGACAGACCAGGAAAAGAACGGGAGCACTTCTAGTGAGTTTTAAGCGCAATTCTTGGTTGATGAGGCCAAGCCCTATTATTTCGGGGCCTTAAGAAAATTGGGGAAACATATTCACGTCTAGTTACAAAGGGGCCATGAGGGATTGCTACTCACCCCTATACTTGGCTGCACTCAGGAGGGTAGCTCTAAATTAAACTTTTAGCTGCCTTAAGAAAAAACCCAATAAACCCAAAAAAGGCTAAGGATCTAAAGTTACAAGCGGGCCATGAGGGATTACTACTAGTAGCTCTTGCCCTAAACCCTAAACCCTAAACCCTAAACCCTAAACCCTAAACCCTAAACCCTAAACCCTAAACCCTAAACCCTAAACCCTAAACCCTAAACCCTAAACCCTAAACCCTAAACCCTATATTGCCCCGTTGTGGGGAAATGCCCTCAGTCCTTCTCATGCCGGCAGCCGTAGAAGACCACCATTGGGCCAGTCTTGATGCCCCGGTTCTTCTTGTACAGCTTGTCCTTTTTAAGGCTTCGGGATTAAGGGTTTAGGGTTTAGGGTTTAGGGTTTAGGGTTTAGGGTTTAGGGGATTTAGGGTTTAGGGCTGAGGGGGGCTCCGTGCGGGATCCGGAAGGCACGGGAGGTGGAAAAGCGTGGGTTTTTTCAAGTCCTTCATGTCCTACATTTAGGCCCAAACGACTGCACCCCCCCCCCCCCCCGGCTGCCCTTGCTACAGTAGCACAGCATGTAACTCAAAAAGCACGGAACCCTAAACCTTGAACCCAAAACCCGAACCCTCAACGTCAAGGGGTTAAGCCTCGTACTCCGAAGGTCGTACCCCTAAAGGTATCCCTTGGTATACTCCAAATATGGGCCTTATCTTCCCTTAGAGGATCTTAAATGGGGCCCCCAAACCCAAGGCTACCAACTCAATGGTTCAAGGTCGAGTCCCACGACCCAGTCAGGGCCAAACTCCCGGCCCTAAGCCCTTTAGGGTTTAGGGTTTAGGGTTTAGGGTTTAGGGTTTAGGGTTTAGGGTTTAGGGTTTAGGGTTTAGGGTTTAGGGTTTCGGGTTTCGGGTTTAGCCCTGACTGTTTTGGCTTCGTGTTCAGCAAGCCCGGTCCTGCATGAAGGAGCGAATGGGCGCCTCGGGTGTGCTAGGACACTGAGACCCCACACCCTAAAACCCAAAAACCCTAAAACCCTAAAACGCTAAGACCCTAAGACCATAAAACCCTAAAACCCTAAAACCCTAAAACCCAAAAACCCAAAAACCCAAAAACCCTAAAACCCTAAACCCCTAAAACCCAAAAACCCAAAAACCATAAAACCCTAAAACCCTAAAACCCTAAAACCCTAAAACCCTAAGACCCTCTAAACCCCTGAGCCCTTAAACCCTAGGGAGGTTATTAGGGCTCAGGATGTCAAGGGCAAGCCTCTGAACCCTAAACCCTAAACCCTAAACCCTAAACCCTAAACCCTAAACCCTAAACCCTAATCCCCACAACACCTGTGGAGTTTTGGCTTTAGGGTTTAGGGTTTAGGGATTAGGGTTTAGGGACCAAAGTTTCAGTTTAGGGTTTAGGGCCAAAGTTTAGGGTTAAGGGGCTAGGGTTTTGGGTGACGGGCCCGGTTGTCAAACGAGCGTCTAGGGCTTCGAGATGAGCTCTCCACATGGTCGCCGCCACTTTGTGTGTGCTCTGGGTAGGGCAATGCTGATTATTGTACAACGAAGAAAGCCCCTAAAGCCCCCAGAAGCCTCTAAACCCTGCAGGGTTTGGGATGTAGGGTTGAAACCCTGAACCCGAAACCCTAAACCCCCTTCAGGACACTAAACCCTAAACCCTAAACCCACTTCAAGACGCTAAACCCTAAACCATAAAACTCTAAACCCTAAACCCTAAAAGCTAACCCCAAAAGAGTTGAAGATTACCTACCCAGTCCCGAAGCTAACGCCCTAAACCCTAAACCCCCAAACCCTAAACCCTAAACCCTAAATCCTAAACCCTAAACCCTGAACCCTAAACCCTAAACCCTAAACCCCAAACCCTAAACCCAACCCAGTCGAGGTGCGATTCCTGTGCCGAGGCCAACCATGACCATGGGGGTGGTGTCGTCCTCAGGAGGCAGGGCTTGGGGGTTAGGGGTTAGGGTTTAGGGTTTAGGGTCTAGGGTTTAGGGTTTAGGGTTTAGGGTGTAGGGTTTAGGGTTTAGGGTGTAGGGTTTAGGGTTTAGGGTTCAGGGTGTAGGGTTTAGGGTGTAGGGTGTAGGGTTTGGGGTTTGGGGTTCAGGGTTTGGGGCTTATGGTTTGGGGTTTACGGCCTTGCGGGTGTTTGGGGTTTACGGCCTTGCGGGTGTTTAAGGGCGATAAAAAGGCACACTCAGTGTTGAAGGACGAGAAGAGCCCCGGCACACTCAGCTGTACTGCAAGAAAGCCTGAACCCTAGACCGTCGGACCCAGAGGAGTCCGAGTGACCTGGGCCACATAGTGCCCTAGAGAACCCTAAACCCCAAAAGCTAAAACCCTGAGCCTTAAATCCTGACGCCCAAAACTGCTTAACATAAAAGGCCCCTATAGCCCCCTAAACCCCAAACCCTGATCGCTCCTTGGGGAACTGGAACGTGCCGCAGACAACAGCGCAGGCCACCTAGCTGCAAAGGCTGAGGGCTTAGGGGGCCTCAGGTTCGAAGGGTTTAGGGCGAAAAGGGCTCCTAAACCCTAAACCCTAAACCCTAAACCCTAAACCCTAAACCCTAAACCCGGTTAGTTTAGTGTGGGTTCTGTTGAGAGTCAGCGGCCATTAGGCTTGGGGTTTAAGGGTTGGTTCGGGTGTAATGAGGCAGCCGCCATGAGGATGAAGGCTTAGTTGCTGAGTTCATAAGCCCCCAAAAGTGTACACTTTCACCCCAAAAAGTGTAAAGTGTCCTCACTCAGCTACTAAGGTTTGGGGCGGCTAGGCCGAACATTTGGGTTGAAGGTTTGGGGCTCAGGACCCCTCTTTGAGCTCTAAAGCCCTGCCGAGCTCTTTCAAGTAAAAAAAGCCTCAGCTCAGAGCCCAGAATGCCTTAGGGTTTAGGGTTTAGGGTTTAGGGTTTAGGGTTTAGGGTTCTCTAAGGGCCAAGAAGCTGTGGGCTTCAACGGAGTTGCAATGCAAAACCAAGCTTAAGGTGATCTACTCAGCGCCTCGAAGTCCTAAAAGGCCCGAACCTGCTGTCAGGCCTGCGAAATGCTGTTGGCTTTGAGTTTCTAGTTCTAGGTTTTCTTGTTGAAGTCCTCACTGATGTCTATGTGTTCCGTCTTTGCTTTGAAGTCACCCGAATTTGTATATTCCAAGGACGCGTTGGCATAGTCTAGGGGCCTGAATAATGAGAATAGGGTTTTGGGGTTCTTATATGTTTTCACAAAGGGACCATAAGGGAATACTATTAGTAACTCTTCCGACCCCCACATTACGTGGCTGGGTGGGGGTGCCTTCGTTCCGACCGGCATGTGCTGGATGAACTTGGTGCAGGTGCCTGATGCGGGGAGGACCATGAACTGGCAACCTCAAAGCCGCATTGCCCTCACCCTAAACCCTAAACCCTAAACCCTAAACCCTAAACCCTAAACTTTCCCTAAACCCTAAACCCTAAACCCTAAACCCTAAACCCGAATTAATCTCCAGGGTTCAAGATCAACTGCCGACCCTTCTTGCAAAGACATGATTACATAGAAGCCCAGTTTGCAGAAAAGAGTACAATATGCAGGGAACCTGTCTGCCCGAAGACGTCGATTCACAATGAGAGAGAATAAGGACCCCTGTATGTATCTTCAGGCTGGTAAGGTGAGGGAGGGGGGGAATGGGGAGTTTACTCAGGCATTCAGTCTAGAGCTTAAGGATTGTAGTCGCCTCCCCTGAATACAGCTGCTATAACAAGAATGAATCTACGATGGCAGGCAGACTATGACACATTTATCTTCTACAAGAAGCTACAACAACTACCATGACTTTCTTCACTTGCACACGATGGCATCCTGGTCTATAGGTTGATATACGTTGAAGTGCTCTGATACAACGTACAAGTAATATGTGAAGATATTTGCCATCGGCCATAACAGACCACATCTAAATCTAATCGTGGGGGTGGAGGTTTTTTCGGCTAAACCCTAACCCCCCCTTAAACCCTGAACCCCCCTAAACCCTAAACCCCCCTAAACCCTCCTAAACCCTAAACCCACCCTAACCCCACCCTAAACCCTGAGTTTAAGGGTTTTAGGGCATCGAGGGTGTAGGGAAGCAGGTGCTCACTGCTGGGATTTTAAGGGTTTGCGGTGTGCCAAGAACCCGGCTTCAGGTTTGGGGTCAGGGGTCTAGGGGTCTAGAAGTCCTGAGGTGGGGTCTAGGATTTGGAGCTTAGAATGGAAGGGGTTTTCTTGGGTTTCGGGGTCTTAGGGACGGGTTTCGGGGTCTTAGGGACGGGAACTTCACTCGAAAACAAGCTTTTCCTGAAGGTCGATGGCCCAAACCCCTCAACCCCAACACCTCCTCATCCTTTTTTTGCAGCCATGAGTCTCAACCCTTGAGCAACAAGTCCTAAACCCTACATCGCAGAAACGCCACGTACAATTTCATACATATATATATATACATATACACACATCCAGACATGCATATGCGCATGTATCCCTAAGCTCTCTCCCCAACCCCAGCCTGTCTTCACGGCACTGGTTGCCTTGGACTTCCACCTCAGCTGGGTGGTTGTTGGTGAGGGCTCCAGTGTCTCAGCAGGTTTGGGGGGGTTTTGGGGGGTTTGGGGGGGGTTTGGTTTGGGGGTTTGGTTTGGGGGGGTTTGGGGGGGTTTGGGTCGGGGACATGGCAGAGCTTTCGGCGCCTTTGACACGGGGGGGGGGGGGGGGCTTCCCCCACGTTGCTGGAAACTTGGTACCAACAGTCCTTCATAGGGATTACAGTATCCCTACTCCCAACGGGAAACTTAAGTACCAAGGCTAGAGATTGACGCTATAAGCCGACTTAAGTAACCACAAAGCCCTACAAAGTAAGCCCCGGAGCCCGAATGCTAAGCCCGAAGCCCTACAGTAAACTCCAAAAAGCTGGAACCTCCTTGTCCCCATACCCCCTAAAAGGTATACTACAGGGAATCCCAGCTATAATCATCTTTAAACCATGTTCCAACTTTTCGGGAGTTTAACCCTACACCCTAAGCCCTAAGCCTTAAACCCTAAACTCGAAGCCCTTTTTTGCACAAGCTGCTGGTTGATGACGATGGTGAACTCCACAGCCTTCGGGCCTGAGGTTTGGGGTTGGGGGATTCAGGGTTTTTAGGGTTCCAGGTTCTAGGGCGGTTTAGCGTTTCGGGTTTAGGGTTTAAGGGTTCCAGGGTTTTGAGGTTGGGGTTTCCGGGTTCCGGGGTTCCATGGCTTTAGGGTTTTAGGGCTTAGGGGTTTCCAGTGTTTCGGGTTGTGGGGTGCGAGGTTTTGGGGTTTGGGGTTCTAGGGTGTCAGGGTTTTGGGTTCAGGGGTTTTCGGGCTTAGGGTGTAGGGTGGGGTTTAAGGTTCACCCTAAACCCTAAACCCTGAACCCTGAACCCTAAACCCTAAACCCTAAACCCTAAACCAGGGTTTTGGTCCATAGGGTAGCGGCTTCCGGCAGGCCCGGAAGCCCCAAAAGCCCCAGAGACCTATTTACAATCCGTTCTGCCCCTAAACCCTAAACCCTAAACCCTAAACCCTAAACCCTAAACCCTAAACCCTAACCCCTAAACCCGAAACCCTAAGCCCTAAGCCCTAAGCCCCAAGCCGCTAAGCCCTATGTCCCGCACCCTACACCTCCAAAACCCTAGAGGCCCTACACTCTATGAACCCCTAAACCCCTAAAGCTAGTTCAGGGTTAGGATAGCATTAAAAGTTTAAATTTCTGCTCCTGTTGGGTTTAAGCACCCTTAAAAATATAAAATGTTACCCAACTATGACAAAGCAAACCCCTGACAAGCTGCACTCCGAGACTTGAACCCCTAAACCCTAAACCCTAAACCCCAAACCCCTAACCCCTAAACCCTAAACCCTAAACCCTAAACCCTGAACCCCAAACCCCTCTAAAAACCATCTAAAAACGTTTAGACCCCTCCGAGAACCATCTACAAACCATTACAGTCCAATAAAACAAACCCAAGACCCTAACCCCAAACCAAACCGAAACCCTAAATGTGGAGCCGTCCTTGGTCATATGCACTGGTTTTGGGAAACTCAATTTTTGGAGGGCCTTTGGAGATGTATTTTGTTTAGAGTGTTTTTTGTTTTTCGACGGTTTTGAAAAGGCGGTGTAGATGGTTGTTTTCGACGGTTTTTGGAGGACTTTTGAATGATTTTGAAGGGGTTTTAGAAGGCGGGTTTGTGGCGGGTCCTTCAAGGGTTTTGAATGTATGTTTTGGAGGGTTTTCAAACGGTTCCAGGGGGCTTCTAGACAGGGATTTTGGGAGGATTTTTACACATTTTTGTTTTTGGATTGTCTTTAGAGGCTGTTTTCCTAAGGAACAACAGCAAGTGCTACGGAAACCACCATGCGTAAAACGTGCCAAGGCTCTCAACCTCTCCTACTTCTGAGGGCGGTGCGCGAGCAAAACAGGAGAGGCTCACAAGCACTCCTTCTAAGGAACCCTAGACCCTAAACCCTAAACTCTAAACCCTAAACCCAGAAGTTCTAAGGGCCGGTGCTTTAAAGGCGGCCGCTCCAAACGACATGCCACTGGACGGGCCGTTGCGCTGCCGAAGATCGCTGGTTCAGCCAATGTGCCGCCGAAGATACTCCATGGAGGCGTGAGGTAAGGTTTACCCGGACCACCCTTCCTCGTTCAGGATCAACATGAGCTTAGGACTTGCTTTGCACCCCTCCGCCGAGCGCCACTCCGCCGAGCCCCACTCCGCCGAGCAGTCAGACCCACTGCTGTCCTCCTCCGGCAGCGCCGCTGAGGCCTCCTCCTCCTTCACCCGCTCGCGGCGGCGCTTGGCCTGCCAGTACTCCTCCTCCTCCCTGTAGCCGGCGCACATCATGAAAGGGCCAAAAAAAAGGACCCTATCTAGGCCGTCCCAACTGCACAAAGTCGAGAACGCGTACCCAACGTCCGTGGAGGACGGGGGCTTAGGGAGCCGAAAACCCCAAACCCGGACAGTACTTCATTGAGGAACAGACCCTGACTCAGATTAGGACCCCTTTTCGAATTCAAGCTTAGGGTTTAGGGCAAAGTTTAGGGTTTTGTTGATGCCTTCGGGTGGCATCTGATGCAGCTGAATCCATGGCTGCACACGACAAATTGCGGAGCTCTGATTTCTTTTAGCACACAAGCTGTCTCTTCGAAAGATCTTTGGCTCTACGAAAGTCTGCTGACTGTGCATGTACAAAAAGAGATTGTCGTCAGCTGTTGCCTTTCGTGTGTGAACCTTTGTGTTCGAACGTCTGCTGGTTCTGGCCCAAGGGGTTTCAACCGCAGCCCTCCCTTGTGCCGAAAGTTGCCGCCAAACGGAGGTGTCGATGTGGATCACCTGGAAGAGGGTCTTTTGCACTCCTCCTCAAGGCCTGCGAAAGCCAGGCATTGCCTTTCTTTCTTCAAATAGACTTCCAGTTGTGGATCGTCCTCGACGCCTCGTGTCTGGAGCTCAAATTGGCCCACTTTAGCAGCACCTTTCCATGTAAATCCTTCTGCCTCCACAGCCACAAGAGGTAGCGATACTGGCGTAGTGTTGGACCCATAGTCGTTCCAATCTGCTCCACCAGCACATCAGCTAATCTTGCAGCCAAGTCCTGCTTCAGCCCACTCAACTGAAGCCCATGCATGCGAAGCCCTTCTCGAATGTCCTCAACCTTCATCAGCAGGATCGTATCGATGATTGCCCGCTTGGCCTCACCAGTCACAGCCTCTGGATCATCCAGCTCCTGTGAACTCGGGGTTGTTGGCGGTTGAAACCAAGCATCCGGTCGGGCACGCATGGGAGTTGACGAGGTTGTACTCCATGCTGTCAAAGAAGGTGCCGGGCGCACCTCTCTCATCTCCTGGACCTCTCCCTCGACTTCACGAATGGCTGCCCTTGACGATGAACTGCCATGCTCGCCCCTTTCACGGACGACTGGTCTGGAGCCTTCATCTCTCCCAGGAAATGCTTGTGCCCTCTTCCTCAGCTCCTTCTCAATGGCCGCTGCTGTTGCCTCTTGTAACTTTCGGAGTCGCTTCACCTTTCGCTCCGAAGCCCCAGGAGTGCATTCCCTGTAGAATTCAATGACGCCCCATCTCAAGGCCTCATACAACATCACAGCACCAAGCAGGGTGAGCATCACCAGGAAGATGCCAACCAGGTCCCAGTCCAGCTGTAATCGCATAGGTGCTTGTCCACTGATCTCCTCGTTGTGGACCTCCCTGGACTCCACTCCCAGCATCATCAGACAGCACAGCATAGCAACCATCACCTTCGTTACATGGGTCGTAGTCGCCGAAGACACCGGTCTCCTCTTTATCTCGCCTTCCTGACCAACCCCCCACAACGCCAGCAAGTCCCTGATTCTCTGTCCACTGAGGGCTTTTGTTAGGATGTCCGCCGGTTGTGTGATTCCGGGCTGGTGCCGGGCCAATATATCTCCATCAGCGATTCGCTCCTGTAGCCATGCCGCCTTCAACCGGAGATGTCTCGTTCTCCAGCTTCCTGTCCCAGAGCCAATTGCTAAAGCACTTGTACTGTCGCTAGCAATGACCTTCGTCTCAGGCTCCACGTACAGGTCCATCAACATGGCTTCTACACCCATAAGTCCCACCGCACCATCGAGGATAGCAAGGAGTTCGCTTTCCCCTGTGCTCAGGGCTACGGTAGCTTGGCGAGCACTCCGCCATGCCAGCGGGGTTCCGGACCAACATATGACCCAGCCCGTGTGCGACCGGTTACTGGAGGGAGCGAAGGCGGCATCCGGGTACAAGATCAGATTGGTGCCATCATCCCTGATTGCCATCTTGTAGTCCCCTGTGGTTCGAAGGTATCTCAGGATCTTGTGGGCAATGTTGATGCATCGCATGGGTGCCTTCAGAGTTATTGATGCCATAAGGGAGCAAGCAAAGCTCAGGTCAGGGCGAGTCTTCTGACTGAGCCACATGATCTCGCCTGTCAATCTCTGAGCAACCGCCACCCCTTCCGGAGACGGCTCTTCATCATCTGAGCCCACCTCAAACGATGCAGCTTCCCGAGACAGAGGAATTTTGTCTCTCTCCTCCTGACCCACCATGTTCTCCCGAAGGATCTCCTCCACGTATCCATGCTGGCTGACGTAGATGAGGTCACCAGTGCTATCGAGATGCAACTCCATCCCCAGGAACCTGATAGATTCCCCATGCCTTAGTATCGTCAAAGGGGACGTCTTCCACGTCTGCTGAATTGTTTCCGCCAGCTCCTTGATGGCTTCCTCCTGGCTGATCAACAGGAAATCGTCGACATAGCATATCAGGACACCCATGACGGTTCCCCATCGGTTTCTAAAGACCCACCATGAAGTCACCGTCCGACCACGCGTCAACGTCCACCCGCTCGGAAACCTCATCTCCTTGAGGGTTTTATCCCTGAATGCCGACCACAGGGCTGGCGCCTGTCGCAATCCATAAAGTGCTCTCACCAGTCCCCATAGCTCGCCATAGTCGATGAGGTTCATCTTCTCGAGGACCTTGGGTGGGGTGACAATGATGGTCAGTCCTGTTCCCTCGCGATCTATCGGTGTCCTCAAAAACGCTGCCACCACATCGATCAATCCCACAGACCATTTTTTCCTCCTCGACAACACCAATCCCGCCCGAACGGCTTCCGAGGGTGCCGTCTCTGAGTAAAGATCACTTTGGTCTCTGTTAGCGAAGTTTCCACAGACCACTAACCTCGCCTTTCTTTTGTACCAAGTACTGGGATCTTCAATGTCCGGGTTGTCGCCAGGTTTGACGGTGTAGACCATCTTGGTAGGCAATCGCTGAGCTCCAGGGCGCTGTAGCCATTCCGACCGTTCAGGAGATCCCAACGCAAGCTTTTGTATGGCCACACTCACACTGTTGAGCTCCTTCTCGATAGCCGGAATCCATTTCTCCCAGTTAGCCTCCACCTCCCTTGGATCCACGTTGTGCGTCACCTCGAGAGGTCCAAGCAAATTGGCAAGCAAGTCCTCCACCCCTTTTGTGAATGCAGGCTCGACCTTATTCATTGATGGTAGGCCACCAAGTTGTTGAGAAGTCGCTCCTCCTATCCTGACCATTCCATGCCTTGCTTCTAAGAACATTTCCCAGGTCTCATCTCCTGCGTCCGGGACAATCACTTCCTCCGGCTCAACTTCACGGTCAACCTCCATGGTATTGATCGCTACTTCGCCCTTGTTCAGGAAGTACTCTGGTAGTTGTGAAGGTGGTGGGACGAAGCCATAGTCCTCGAGCTCCTGCACCATTTCTCGAGAAAGGCTACCAAAGCAGTTCGGGGTGTAGGCGATAAGAACTGTTCTCGTTCCTGTCCACGGCAACACCTCATGTGTTTTCCTTGGCAGAAAGGTCATACACCGGCCCACCTTGATTCTGTGAACTTGCCCATATAGCCGTCTTCCACGATCATCTTCTCGCTCCATGACCTCCCCTGTGACCACATCACCTGGTGATAGCTCCACCCACAAATCACCTCCTTTTTCTGGAACTCGCACCGGGATCACGCTGTTGAAGGCCTTCTCATCATTGTTGGAATCCTTATGTATTCCTCGCTCAGCATTCCTCGCCACCCAGATGGCCATGTAGTTCGCCTCGGGGTTCTCCTCGGTGACGATCCGAGTCAGTACCTTTGTTAACTCGGGATACTCTCGTAGCCCTCGAAGCCATCCAACAGCACCCCCATGGCGATACACTCCAAACTTTTTGTCCTCGAAGAAGCCAGTCTCTGCCAGCTCATCCACCATCTTTAGCGCTAAGGACTGATTCCAATCCTCCAGGAGCACCTTGCATTTGTCACCGATGTACGTGGCCATCTCCTCCTCGGACAGCTCCAACCTTCGCATCTCAACGGCCTCCACTGGGGTCTTTCCTACGATCCTCTTCCGTGGTGCCGGCGCCTCCTCTACTTGTAGTTCTTCATGTGGTAGTCCTGGGTCGATTAGTCGTGGACGTACGTGGAAGGTGTGAATGAACTTCTCCTTACCCTTTTCGTCTTCCGGAACATACACGACATGTCCCTCGTCCATCAGATTGCTCAAGCCCACATAGGTGCCCTTGATCCACTTCGTCTCAAATGCCCGCTCTCGCCTTCTTGGTCCAGACGAGTCAAAGGCCTTCTGCTTCACATGGACCACTGCACCGAAGGGAGCCATAAGACGACTCTTCCATCCAAGCACCTTTGCCCTCTGGATAGCTGTGGCTGCTTCCACCGCTGTTGGCCATAGTCTCACTGGAAGTTTTGATGCCAGCAACAACGTCCTGGCTTGATCCTTAATCCATCGCACTGTACTTTCCGCTTGTCCATTTCCTTGAGGAATTCCCGGCTCCGACCATGTAGCCCTTATTCCCTGATCTCGTAGCCACGTTCTGATTGAGTGGTTGAATGTCTCACCCTTATCAGCATGTAGGCGGAACACAGGTAGGCCTCGAGAGTGCAGGTACAGGACGATGTCCTGAATCACCCCCTTCACCGCTGCGGAGCCATTGTTGGTTAGTGCCCGGGCAAACAAAAGGTGTGTGGTTTCAGGACATTCACAATCTGGGAAGGTCACTCGCTCACCATCAGGGATCTTTTCGTCCTCCTCTTCATGTGGTTGGTGTTGTCCTGAGTCCTCTCCTACCTCAGAGGCAGGTTCAGAAGGTGCGTAGATCGAGTCCTCGTAGTCCTTGAACTCCTCCCTTTGCTTAGTGGTGCTTCCCGCAAACCCACCATTGACTCGATCAAGCTCTCGATCATCCTCCTCCTGGGGGTGGTATTCTTGGGCCTCGTCCAAGTCCGGCTCATAATCCATATCGTCACCGACCTCAAAGGGATCCTCTGCCTCAGGTATCGGCAGCGCTGATGAG